CTGCTCTGCTCCCCGCTTTGGCTCTGGTGAATTCTCTCACCCTCCCACGCTTCTGACTGTACCCAGTGCATGTATAAACAAAACAAACAAACAAATAAATAAATAAATAACATGCCTCTATTAAAAAAAATAAATAAAAGTTTTTTTATTTTTACTTCTTACTCCACACTGATTTTTTTTTTTTTTTAAAGAAATCTTTTTTTTTTTTTTTAATAGAGGCATGTTTTTATTTATTTATTTATTGTTTGTTTGTTTATACATGCACTGGGTACAGTCAGAAGCGCAGGAGGGTGAGAGAATTCACCAGAGCCAGGGCGGGGAGCAGAGCAGGCAGAAGGACCGAAGTACACTGCTGAGGGGAGCAGCGGGCGGCAGGAGAGGTCTGCGCGCCATGTGGGACCCTCCTCCAGTGGCCGGGGAGCAGCCGGGGATCGAACCGGCGTCGCAGAGGCCGCGGGCAGCTTCGCAACCCAGCGCTCAACCGCTGCGCCACCGGGGAGGCCCTCCACACTGATTTTTGCCCAATTATTTACTAACTGCTAAAAACTCTGCACAAAGATATGACGTCATTGAAAGGCATCTGGCGCCACCTACTGTTGAAAGAGACCTACCTAGACCTACCTATTACCAATTCTCAGGACAGACAATCTTAGTATTTGTTCTGCTTCTCTTGAAAACTTAAAATATCTCACTGGGTCCCTGTGAGTTTGCTGTGGTGCCTCAGCACAGTCTGGGAACAGGGAATTTAACTTATTGGAAAGGTTTTATTCTACTGTAAGACTAGACCGTGAATTATTCAATAGGATTCCTAACAGCATTTAGTAATTTATAAATTGCCCTTTTCAAACAACATTGCAATAAAAATTCTTCCACATTTATCTTTGTGTAATTGTCCAATTATTTAATTCAATCATTTATTCACCTAACTTTTATTACATGCCTATTATGTGCCAGGCACTAACTGAGATGCTTAAGGAAGAGTGGTGAAAACAAAGACCCTCATGAAATTGATACTAAGGGAGAAACAGAAAAACTAATCTTTTTAGGTAAGAACTTTGAAATAAATAAAATAACATCAGGACTGGGAGATACAGAATGCAGGAAGGTGCTATTTAAATCAGGGAAGAGGGGCCTCCCTGGTGGTACAAGGGGTTAAGTCTCAAGACTATGAAGCTATCCGCAGCCACTGCAGCAGGAGTTCGATGCCAGACAGGCTGCTCCCCTTGCTGCTCCCCTCAGCAGTGGGGTTCAGTCAATGCGCCTCTTCTGTTCCCCACTCTGTGTCTGGTGAATCATTTCAACCCTCTCCCCCGTATCTCTGGCCTGTACCCCAGTTCTTGTATGCCTAAATAAATAAATCTTGAAAAATGAATAAATAAAGGAAGAGCTCCAAACAACATACACTGAACAGAGAATATGCTGGTGTAAAGGAATAGGTCTAAGGAGGTCTGGGCAATATTGTTCTAAACAGGATAGTGAATAATAAAGTCCTTGAGGAGCAATGAACTCACAGTGTTGGAAGCACAAGCAGGTAGTGTGGTTTACTTTAGAAGAGCAAAGAGGAGCCTCCCCTGTGGCACAAGGGGTTAAGTCTCAGCGCTATGAAGCTATCTGCAGCCAGGACAGGGAGCATAAGATCTTCATTTCACTCTGTCTCTGGTGAATAATCCTCTTACCTCCTGCACCACTGCCCTACACTACCCCAGCTCTTGTATGCATAAATAAATCTTTAAAAGAGAAAAAAAAGAAGAGCAAAGAGGAGACTAACAAAATGGATAATGAGAGGGAGCAAGATTATACAGGACCTCACAGGTCAGAGTAAAGAGTTTGGACACTTTGGAAAGGATTCCATCCAGGGAAGAGACATGATGAAAATATCTCTCCAGCTGTTCTGCAAACCGCAGGTGGGAACAACTAAGGATAGGACTTCTGTAGCAGTCCATGTGAAAGATGGTGGATATGGAGATGGTCATAAATGGATTCTAGAAATATACTGAAAGGCAGAACTGACAGACAAGCAGATGGACTGAATGGAGAGTGTGAGAATGAAAAGAGCCAAAAATAGCTTTTAGGTTTGGGTCTGAGCAACTGCATGAAGCGTTCCTTTCTAAAGGAGGAAAGACTGGGGGAGGGGCATATTCAAGGGAAGAAATTAAGCATTTTTTAAAGATAAATTTTTGAAGTGCTAAGGGTGAGCCAAGAAATATGCCTATTAAATAACTGATAAAATTGTTAGATTATCTTCCAAGATTATAACAATTTGTCCTCCTACCAACAATGTGTAAGCATGCCTAATTTTTCATTATTTTTGCCAGTAGGAAAAATATTTGATAAGGAAAGACATTTTAATGTGCATGCTTCCATTAGTAAGCTGATTATTTTTTATACTAATTCTGTGAAATACCTATCCCCATTCTTTATCCATCTGGTTGATGTGTGCTCTCCTTACTGATTTGTAATGTTCCTTGTATATCAAGAAATTTAACCTGCCATCACATGGCAAATACTGTTTCCCAGATCTGTTTTTTTAGTTTTGTCTGTGGTATCTTTAATACACAGAAATGGCTCTTATGTTTATGAAATGTGCCTTGCTCTTCCTTGTATATGAAATACTGAGCTCAGTGCCTATCACATAGTAGTCACTCAGTACAATTTACCTATAATTCATTACTATTAAGGATTTCTGCCCTTAGTATCACCCCCTAAAATACAGCCTATGTTTTTTTGTTGTTGTTTTTTCTAAATTTATTTATTTATTTATACAAGCAGTGGGTACAGTCAGAAGGGCGGGAGGGAGAGAGAATTCACCAGAGCCAGAGCTCGGAGCAGAGCAGGCAGAAGGACCGAAGTACACTGCTGAGGGGAGCAGCAGGCAGCAGGAGAGGTCTGCGCGCCATGTGGGACCCTCCTCCGGTGGTGGCCGGGGAGCAGCCGGGAATCGAACCGGCGCTGCAGAGGCTGCGGGCAGCTTTGCAACCCAGCGCTCAACCACTGCGCCACCGGGGAGGCCCCCATCCTATGTTTTTTCTATAGTGTACAGTTTTGTGTTTGAGATTTAAACCTTAAGCCCACCTGGTATTTATTCTGTGGTATAGATAACGTGAGTTCAGGAAATTCTAGCTCCTGTTACAAGTACCACACAGCTGAGCCCTCTGCTTCAGGAAAACTGTCTCTATCCACACACAGAGCATTTCAACTCCATTTTCTCCAGCCATCTGGGTGCCTCCAGTTCCACAAAAGGAGTGCAAGTCACCGACAGCTCTAACAACTCTACTCTGCTTCCATTCTTAGCCCTCCTCTCCAATCAGTTCTTTATAGGGAAACCAAAGTAGTAGTTTTTTTTTAACGTAAACTCAATGTCATGCTCCTGCTTGTAATTCTACAATGGTTTTCTACTGAAAATACAACTAAATGCAGATTCTTGATTTACAATATTCTGCTGGCCTGCCTCATCTCAGCCTCTCCAGCTCATTTCCTTAACACCCTCCCCTTCTCATCCACTAAACTCTAACCACTGAGATCTTCTTTCAATCCCTGTAGTACCCCAAATTCACTTCTCCCTCAGGACCTTTGCACTTGCTATTTCCTCCGTCTGAAAAGCTCGTCCTAGTCTCTGTGGCAACGATAACTGGCAGCGTCTCACCATTCAGTACTATAACGTCCTGAGACAGACCTTTTCAGATCATAACACCCTATTTGAAGTAGCCTCACTTCAGATACTCCCCGTGCATTTAACACTCATTTTATTTCAAGTCACTAGCCGTTTACTGAATTGGTCATTCCTTTATTCGTATGTTTGTGTTTCAAACCCTAGCCCCACAAAAAGGGACACCACCCCCCACAGGGTCCTCGTGTGTCTTGTTAAGCTCTGCATCGCCAGCGTCAGTTGTGACTATCAAACAGCAGGTGGTCAACGTTTGTGGTTAAAGGAGGTGAGGAAATTTGGGGTTCGCGTCTTACCCAAACTTTCAAAGGTCCCTAGAATTCGTGTTCTCTTAAACGTTTGTACTCTCGTTTAATGTCTGTCACTCTGTGATGTGGCGTGTCCCTCCTCCTTCCAGCCCATCCTGCGGCCATACCCCCACGTAGGACACAGCGCTTGCTCACACCCTAGCAAAACCTAACTCCTGGGGCCACGAGGTTGGACCCCGCACACCCTTGGCGCGGCCAGCCCATCCTCCGGTGCCGTCACCCTCAAGCAGCGAAAGGCAGTTTCCTCCAGCCCCGCCCGCGGCGCGGGAGGAAGGAGTGGGAGGACAGAACGGCTTACCAGTTCATCCGGACTGAGGACTCCGAACTGCACTCTCTTGATGGTGCGCAGCGGGCATGCGCTGTCCCCGGAGGGGGGGCCACCCCCATGCATCGCGGAGGCAGGCGCGCTGCGCAGGCGCAAACCTCACTACAAAAAGCCTGCGCCGCCTCCGCCTAGGTGCTCAGACCCCGCCGGGGCGGCCACCGGGAAGGACCTCCCCGAGTAGGGGGGAAAAAGCCGGAGGAGGGAAGGTGGGGGAGGGAAAGAGGCGGGGAAACGAAAAGGAGCGAAAGGAGCTCTCCTCCCCCTTTCCGGAGATTTTTCGTCTCCCAAAAAGGAAAAAAAAAAAGAAGGGAGAAAGGAAAAGGTTCTGGGGGAGGAAGAAGAAAAGGGGTAACGAATAAATAAGTAACCGGGCTCCTGAACGGCAGAGGTTACGGCAGTTTGTCTCTCCCCCTTCCGGGAGCCGCCTTCTTCTCCAACCGTCCCGGCCGCGCTCTCGGCGCTTCTGAGGAGCGAACTGGCCGAATGACGCCCTTTATAGATTCGCCCCGGCTTCCCCGCCCCTTCCTTTCCCGCCCTCCCTTGCGCTACGGGGCCGCCTACGCCGACCTGCAAGGGACGCGCGCGCCAGTCGTTGATCCTCCCTTCCCCGCTCCCTGGTTAGGCGACCTTTTGAAATGACGGGAGAGGGAAACTTTCTTTTTAATCTCGCCCCTACCCCTAGTTGCGCCCTCCCGCAGTGAAGTTTAAAGGGTAGAGGGTAAATATAGATCGTTTTATTCCAGTTTGGACTGTGGTTTCATCTCAAGGAAAAAAAAATCTCAGTAATATCCCCCCCGCTGGAAAATGGTTTGCTCTGCGAATCGGAGGCGGGGCCTGGTGGGGCCTCCCAAGTGGGTTCCGGGAGGGGGAATGCTGGAGGGGGGGTGGTGCGCCGTCCTTGGTCATGAATATGCAGTAGTCACGCTGAATATGCATGAATAGATCAAAATGGCGAGGCCAATTGCTTGTCCGGATGTGGCTGATATTTATCCAGCGGCCTCTAGGGACTGGTGGACATCTCCTGTCCTCTAATGGAGGGTTGTACGGAGCTCTGGTCCTGGATACGCGGCCTGAGCCGTTCGAAGAGGTCTCAGGTCGGAGGCCTGCTCCGGAGGAGGCTGGCTACTGTCCGGGAGAGATCACGGGACCTCGACAATCCGGGAAAAGCATATTAGCCATGGGGCGGGACACAGAGGTCCTGGGGGATTCATGGTCAAGGCATCTGAACATTAGGAAATCCTCCCCCTTCAATAATAGTTCAGAAATAAGATGGGGGTGGGGGCGGGGATCCCAAGGGATTCTCCAATAAGAGCCATGTAGGACTTCCACTCTCCTTCCAAAGCAGAGATGACACCAACTGCACGGCCACATTCAGAGTGATCCTTGTTTGATGTCAATGTCACGTCACCACCCCAAAGAAGGGGGGGCACAACCACGAGGAAGGGAAATCATCGCTGGGGAAAAAAAAGACACATGCCCTTCCCCCAGTGCAGCTGCTTGCTCTATTTGCCTAAAAGCCCCAAAGCTCTTCTCTCTGCAGCTAAGGGGAAAATCCTCCCCATTCTGCCTGCCTCAGCCCTTCTGATCTGCTTCTCAGACCTCATCCCTTACTTTGCCCTGATCCCCAAGTCCAAGCCTAGACTCCACATCTCTTGTTCCAGGTCTTCCTCTCCACTAAGTCCCCAAGTCACCCTTGACTCCAAGGGGTGTCCCTCGCCCATACCAGTTCTTTTCGGGTCTCTTGTTCTCCCATGTTTGTATTCCAGTCTTGCCTTCTATTTACCCCTGCCCCCCCCAACCCCCAGACTTTCAAGTTTGATCTCACTCCTCCACCTGCCCTTCCCTCTCACAGCTGAGGTTCTGGGCGGTGATGATGGCAATGCTGCCCAACACAACCCCTGCCCCCATGATGTCTGAAGGTGCGACAGTTTCATAGAGCACATAATACTGCAGCATCAGGGCCACCACAACCTCAGAGTGCAGGACGGCACACACCAGGGCAGGGTGGGCCTTGGTGACTGCATAGCTTACACACACAAAGGAGACCAGAGCAAGTATCCCCACTGCCCCCACACAGCTCCAACTCAGAGGATCGTAGGGCAGCACTGGGGTCTGCAACACAAAGAGCCCCGGCACGGAGCCCACCAGCCCCACCAAGCCAAATAGGAAGGCGACTGTTGGTAGGCAGGAGGGGAAGTCCAGGGAACGATACACCAGAAGCCCCAGTGACAATGCCAGACCTCCCAGGAAAGCTAGTACATAGCCCAGGGCAGTATAGAGGCCCGTGGTCCCCTCCTGTAATGTCCCTAGTCCAGGTCCCACAATGATGATTAGTCCCAGGGTGCTGCCCAATAGGCCACACCAGTCGTAGCCACTGAGACCCTGGCTCTCTAGGCAGAGGGCCAGGAGAGCAGAGCAGACGGTAGAAGAACCTTTTCGGACGGTGGCAGCGTTGCCAGCGGGCACCACCTGAACGGCACTATAGGCACATCCAATGCTGAGAACGTTGAGCAGGGCGTGGAGGCAGGCCCGGCCCCGAACATCAGGAGGTCCCAACAGTGGGTCACCGCGTAGTCTAAGTAGCAGGCCAATGGGAAGGTGGAAGAGGCATCGACAGATGAGTAGCTCCAGCGAGGGTAAGTGGGAAGCCTGGTAAGCCATACGGGAGAAGGGGCCCACGAAGCCAGCGGGCAGGCCCCCACCCAGCAGGGCCACGAGCAGACCCTTGGTGGCATCGGAGGGCCGGCAGCGCTGGTGCGAGGGGAGACTGGGCGGAGTGGAGGGCGGTGATGGCTGGGTAAAGTCGGGCAGGTTGAAGTAGGGGTGACTGCCAGCCTGTTAGAGAGAAAGGAGCTAGGACATTAGGGGAACTGGGTAAGGGTGAGTGCCAGGATGGGGTCTGGGTCCCTGTGGGACAGTAGAGGGGCAGACTGTCTTGCTGAGAAACTCCTGGGAGCTAGAAAGGGTCCAAAAGTTGAAAGAGGTGGTAGAGAATGGGTCTAAAGCTTCTAAATCAGGAAGAAGGGAGTCAGCATTTATGGAGCAGAGTGTTCCTCTGGATAAGTGATACCTGGGAGGAGAAAAAGAGGACCCAGGGGTGCTCTGTTGATTCGAGGAGGGGGAGGCGGCCTCAGATGCTAAGTGTCTGTATGATGTCACAGGTTCCAGGGACATCTGGGTACACCATTATAAATTACATTTATGGGTGTCTCTAAGACAGATGGGAAGTTTTAGGGGAAAAGGAGAAAGGAAGCATCCAGGTGCTGCAGGAAGAGGGGTGATGGCCCCCCTGGCCCCCACACTCACCATCTTTCCTTGGACTTTCTCCTCTCCTCTCCTGGCTCAGAGGGCCTGGGCCCTTCAGAGCTCCAGCCATTGTGACCTGGTTGGAGTGGGGGTGGGGTTCTTCCCTAGAACCTTCCTGAGGTGGGGGTGGGCTTTATATTTCCATGATTACAAAATTTGTCAGATTTATTTTTTCTCTTTACAGCTATCTCTGTGATGAGCTTCTTTGGTTTTAAATTAGTTTATTTGGGCCTCCCTGGTGGCGCAAGGGTTAAGAGGCAACCTATGAAGCAATCCGCAGCCACTGCAGCATGAGTTCGATTCCCTGCCAGCCAGGGAGCAGCCTACATGGCGCAGTAGACCTCTCCTGAGTCCCCTGCTGCTCCCCTCAGCAGTGTACTTCGGTCACTCTGCCTGTTCTGTTCCCTACTCTGTCTCTGGTGGATCCCCTCACCCCCCACAACTCTGGCCTGTACCCCAGCTCTTGTATGCATAAATAAATAAATCTTTAAAAAAAATTGGTTTATTTATGCCTCACCTTGTTTCAGAAAGGTTTTACAGGAATAAGCTCTGAGGACTGGGGCCTCCATCTTCTGAGTTTTAAATTTTTGAACACCAGGGAGGAGTCACTGGGACTGTCCCTCTGGAGTTTCAGGAATGTGTTTCTTCGGTGTGAGCTTCCACCTGGTGTTTTGGTGGTGCTGTCCCAAGAGGCCCACACGAAGGCCTCTGCATTTACGCACATATTGTGGATATTTCTGCCGGTGGGAACAAAATAGCAAACTGCGCGTTCATCTGCTCTGGTAGTCATTTATATGTGCCTGTTCTGTAAAGCTGGGGCCTTCCTAACCTGTGGCCTGTGGGGGGTGGGGTTCTGGGGGGGGGATCCCCATGCATTCCAGGGAAGGATATGTGCGTGTGTCCAGGGCACCCCCTGTGAGGGTGCTGAGTCTGGATCTGCGAGTCCCACTGGGTTTGAATGCGTGCCTGCCATGTTTTGTGCCTGTGCCTGGAGAGGGTGTGCGAGCTCCGGGCGGTGTGCACCGTTGAGTGGAGGGGGTGCAGGGGGCGGAGGAGTCCCTTCCTAGGGAGTGCGTGGTCGTGCAGCCCGGCGGGGATGCAGTAGCCAGGCCCGCGACCCCCTGGGTGCCCGCACGTCCGGTGGCCCCGCGCGGCGCCCTTCCTTTCCCGGGGTCTGTCCGGGCGAAGGCCGTCGGGCGCGCTCGCCCCAAGCCCGCGCCCGGAGCCTTGTGGCAGCGTCGGCTGCGCTGCGCCGGCCTCCTCTCGGCGGCGGCAGCGGCGCTGGGGGGGGACTGTTTCCGGGGGTGGGGGTGGGGGTAGGACCGGGGCGGGGGGAGCCGATGATGTCAGCGGCGGCGGCGGCGGCGGGGCCGGGCCGGGGCCGGGAGCTGGGGGGGCCGGGGCCGGAGCCGGAGCCGGAGCTGGAAGCGGGCGAAACCGGAGCGGCCGGGGGCGGCCACGGTGATGAGCCGGGCCTGGCGAACGCGGCGCCATCGCAGTCAGGTGGGCCCCAGGGCGAACCGGGCAGGGCCAGGGCGGACCGGAGCCTACAGCCGGGCCCCCTCCCAGCTGCCCGGCGCCACGGGGGCCCGGGCCGCGTCCCGCGCCGCGACCGCTCCCCTTTGGGGTTGACCTGGGGGCTCAGGGGTCGGGGGCTGAGCCTGGCCCCGCCCCCAGGCGCGCAAGGCGCTGGGGGGCGACTAAGGGGGCCCCATACGGCGCCCTACAGAGCGGCGACCGGGGGTGCGATCGTTTGTGGACGTGGAAGGGGCCTCGCTTACTCCCCATTTGAAGGGTTAATTCTGCAGCCTAATGCCCCCTCCCCCCGTGGGGCAGGTTGGGGGTGGGGTGGGGCGGGTGTGAGCTCGGGCCGGCGCTGCAAGCTGCTGGGAGGGCGATGGCGTAGGAGCCAGCAGAGCGGGGGAGGGGTGGGCCGCCGAGCGCCCCAGAGTTGGGGTGTGCGGGGTTCGCAAGGCGAGCAGGGGCCTTAGAACTGCGCGCCGTCGGGGCTGGGTTGTGGCTGTGAGTCCTGGAGATTGTGTGTCGTCTGCTGTGTTGGTGGGGCAAGGTAAACCTCTCCTGGGCACCACTGTTTGCTGGTCTGGCAGCCAGGGGTGCGGGTAGGGCCCTCCCAGGGCTGTGGGGACAGAGAGCCAGATGAAGGGGTGTCCAGTGTTACGGGGCAGAATTACAAGATCTGGCCCTATGGCTTTGGGTGACAAGTCCGCATTCAAAGCAAGGCACAATATGTGCGGGGTTTGTTGAATTTGTTAGATGTGGGATTTTGTGTATGTTTTATAGCATCGTGTGTTTTCTTGAACGTATGTGTCTTGGCCTGCACATATGAACTATTTATTAACTGTTGTTTTCTGCATAGCTGGTAAGGTGGATGTGTTGTGGAGGGCCCGGGGGTACCAGTACCTGCCCATCTGGAGGGGACGGTTGTGTACCTTTGATTCAAAAGGTGTCTCATTTAGGGTCCCATTTAAGTGGTCCCGCCAAGGTGTGGTCCAGTGTCCGCGAGAACGGTGTTTGGAGGGGTTTCTATGTCTGTGTGATAAGCAAGTGGCGTGGGGAATTGCATGTCTAGAACTCAGGTCTGAGGATCATGTAGGAAGTGGAAACCCCAGGGTGTGTCTCAGGGTCAGCTGGCGCGGGTGTGAGGGTCTCTGCGTGGAATGTACAGGTTGTGTTTATGGGATTGTGGGCAGCTGAGCGAGAGAAAGGTTATGTGTTTGCAACGTTCTCCACAGATTCTTTGGTGACGTTGTTTGCAGGAGCCTGTCTGCTGTTGGGCTGGGAGGCGAGCTGGTCAGAAAACACTTGTGGGGAGGGAGGTGGCGTGACAAGGGCAATGTGGGCCTCAGACTCCAGAGATCAGCCACAAGCTGTGTGTGCGTGCCTGCCTTCTGTGTGTTTAAGTGGCGGTGTGGGGCTGCTGTGGGGATATGTTCTGAAGAAGGCAGGAGATAAATATGGGGCAGAACAAGGGCAGCAGGAGGAGGCCTGGGTGTTGTCGGGGTGGCCCAGCTAGTCTTTGCGCAGGGTCTGTGTGCTTACCCCTCACTGGCCCTCCCAGCGTGTCAGGGTCACTGGGAGGAGAGGCCGGGCGACTGCAAGGAAACTAAGCTTGGACAGAGTGGCTCCTTGGCCATGTTTACGTAAAGGTCGGGCGTGACTCTTGTCACTGAAATGAAAAAAAGAAACACGAAGTTTTCAGTCTCCTCCTCCTGCTTCACCCTCTCTCTGCCCCCCTTGTGGGTATCACTGCTTTTCCGTCTCTTCTGTGACGCATACTGGGCTGCTCCTGCGACTGTGGAAGGGTCTGGAAATGGGAACGGAATTCGCTCACTAGGCAGATTCCTCAAAACAGGTTTTCCTCACCTTTGGGGCCTCAGCCATTCTGTATGGTGTGTTTGTGTGTGTGTGTAGTGTGTGTGTGTAGGTGTAGGGATGAGCCGTGTATGTGCTCCACGTTTGTACATGGCTGCATACTAGGCCTGCCTTGGCCGAAAGGGTAGACATGCACAGGGACTGGGAGGGAACTGTAGCCCTGGGCCTTTCCTTTGGGGGGGTGGGGAGTTGCTGCTGGCTGCTGTGTGAGGCCTGCACAACAGGTGCACACAGGACTGGTGGAAGTGAAGGAGGCCTAGACTAGAACTGAGGAGTTCTGGCCCAACGACTTCCTTACTGGCACTTTCCCTAAGTGAGCCTTAGTTCTTCATCTGTAAAATGGAGCTCAATACCTGCCTTGCCTATCTCCCGACAGGGTTGTCAGTAAGTAGTTCATGGGAAATATACCTGGAAGGTAGCTACAGTTGGGGTCTGTGCCACCCTCTGTCAGCCTTGGGTCCCTTATCAGGGCTTGGCTACCAGGTACTGTTCTCAGTGCTTTTACATTTAGTCTTTGTAGTGACCCTGTGGAAGTGGTTGTTCTGATTACCTCCCTTTTTCAGATTGAGACACTGGAGGCCCAGAGAAGTAATTTTCCGAAAGCCACTTAGCTAGTAAGAGATAAAGCTGGATTTGAACCCAGGTAGTCAGGTCCTAGAACCTGTACTCTTACATTATATGCTATATTCTGTTGCCCTTTTGAAGCTTTCTGTGGGCCTCTCTACCTATGCCCAAGCCCTCTTATCCCCAAATTCTGCAGAACTCAGCACCTACACCAATTCATTTTACAAGATCTGTGTGCTCAGGCAGTGACTCAGGGTGCCCCAGCATAGGGTGCTGACCATAGGGACACAAAATGTTGATGAGCTCGGGGAAGGAGAAATTGTCCTATGGATCAAGGTGGGCCAAGATAGAGGTGGCATTTGAGTTAGATCTTAACATTTTGGAGGACTTTTGAGAAGCAACTGGAGAAAGGTTGCATTTCTGGCAGGAGAACCAGCATGGGCCTGTTGAGGTTGGAGGGCACACTGAGTGCTTGAAGGGAGACTAACACAAGGCAAATTTATCTCACAATTTTTTTTTTGAAGATTTATTTATTTATGCAAGAACTGGGGTATAGTCAGAGGCGCGTGAGGGTGAGAGAATTCACCAGAGACAGAGCTGGGAGCAGAACAGGCAGATGTACCGAAAACACTGCTGAGAGGAGCAGTAAGCGAAACAGGAGAGGTCTGCTGCACCATGTGGGTATCTCCCTGGCCGGCCAGGAATCGAACCCATGCTGCAAGGCTGCCGACAGCTTCATAGCGCTGCACTCAACCCACTGTGCCACAGGGGAGGCCCCACAAAGCAAATTTAGACAGGAAGATTAAGCTAGACCAGAGGTCTTGAATGCCTCTCTGAGGAATCTAAACTTTTTCTGGAGTTACTGGGGACTAGTAAAAGTTTCTGAACTGCAGTTGGGGAAATTGGCCTAGAGGGAGGCTAGAGGGGAAAAGGTAAGCATGGAGGCAGGGGAATAGCTGGGAGGTCATGAACTTGGACTTTGTGAATGTAACTAGGCCCTGAGCTAGTTTGGGAGCCAGAGGTGGGTTGAAGGGAAGGCTTCCGAGCCATTCCCGGTTGAAGGGAAGGCTTCCAAGCCATTCCCAAGCTGAACTGCAGATTCTCTGTGGGATGGATGTGGGGAACGAGAGAAAGGGTGGAGTCAAACGTGACAGTTAGTAACACACGAGAGCTTGTGTGGTGATTTCTGTAACGTGCTGACCAGCCATCGGCCCCTTCAGGGCTGGATCCTGCAGAGGGAAAGACTCAGCATCTGAATTCACACAGGCCTGGGTTTGAATTTTGACTCTGCTACTCACAAATTGTGTGACCTTGAGCAGGGTATATGCTTCTGTGAGCCTCAGTTTCCTCACCTGTAAAGTTGGGATAATATAAATACTGTGGGTGGCCATTTTGAGGAAATCATTACGTGAGGCAGTGCATGTAGAGCTGCTGGAAATGTATCAGGCAAAGCACGAGTGTCTCAGAAGTGTTCAGGTTATACCCATCATCTTCAGCTTCTGGCCAGCCCAGACCAACACCAAGGATGGCTTCTTTCTGAGGCTCCAGGCAGATTTTGAAGAAGGCAGCTTTATTCATTCACCAAAAGAAAACTAAGTTTCCCATTATATACCAGGCACTGTTCTAAGCACTGGAGATATTAGCCAACAATGTGGACGAAATCATTCCCACTCTTAGAGCTTACATTCTAGAGATAAAAGAACAATATGTTTTAATAATTGCTGAGGAGAAAAATAAAGTGGGGAGAGGACAGGAAGTTTGGGAAGGTAAGGGTGGCTATGCATGGCCCTGGGGAAAGGTGAATTTTGAGTCAAGGCTTAAAGGAGGTGGAGCAGCAAAACATGAAACTGTCTGAGGAAAGAACATTCCAGACAGAGGGAACAACAAGAGGTGGAGTGTGTCGGATCCCCACTACAGTCACATCTCTAAGCTCAGACAGACAGTCAAGAGTAGAGAAATGGTAAAAACAAATAAAAAAATGAAACCCACAGAGCCATCAAACCTACCATGAAGTCTGATTTCTGTCTCATTTTCACTACCTCCCACCATTTTCCAAGAATGAGTTCCAAGCTAATAATAAGAGCTAGCCCTTACCAAGCATTTACTGTGTGTCAGGCTCTAATCTCGGTACTGCCAGTTATTCCTTCATTTTATCTTTACAATAACCCTACAAAGTGGGAACTATTCATTATCCCCACCTCACAGACAAGGAAACATACAGAAAGGTAAAGTAATTTGCCCAGGGGTCATACCACCAGTGCGTCCTCTCTACCTCCTATGTATAAGCCCTGCTAGGGCAGGGGCTAGTGGGGCATTTGAACTCAGGAGAACTGGGTCCTGCCCAACCACCAACTTGGTTAGCAATGAGACCAGGGGCAAATCACCCTGCCACTGGGTTCTCTTGACATGAAAGTGAGCACAAGTGGGTATGTAAAGCATTCATTTCCTCGTTTATACAGTGGGGTTGGTGATCCCTGCCTCAATGGAGTGGGAATATATTGCAAAGAAAATGCTTAGCATAATATTTGGCACCTAAGTATTTCATAAATGGCAGTGGCCAGAGCCATGGTGATAGTGATTCTAGGTGGTCTCTAAGGCCCAAACTAGCTTTGGACCTGTATTTTTCTAAGAAGCCCTGCCAGTCCTTATCCAAGTTATCTCTGCAGTCAGCATACAGCCCTGCCTCAGTAGGTGTAGGGTAGTGCACATAAGCAGACCTACTCAAGGAGGGATGCATGGGCTGGAATCAAGCTTTTGCTTTGCTTACCGGTGCAAGGCTGCTATCTCCTGGAGAAAGGGGCCCTTTCTTTAATTTTCACAAAGGTACTAGGTGGGCTAGTGTAGGCTCTAGTGGGTGCTGTTGAAAGGAAAACACAACTACTTTGTAAACACTCGAAACACTTCTCACCCTAACCATTTCGCTAACACCAGCCGGATGTTCTACCATTCTGACACCATCTACTTGGAGATAGTGTCAGATGCCACAGAATGAAAGACTCAGTGCCACAGACCATCCCCACTACAGATGCCAGTGCAGGCCCTGTGTACTTCTAACCAATCAAGTTATAAAATTGAGGTTCCCACTACCCCCTCCTCAGATTCAATAATTTGCTAGAATGGCTCATAGAATACCAGAAAACATTTATGTTTACTATTTTATTATGTAATAAAGGATATGATAAAAGAGACGAATGCACAACCAGATGAAGTACATAGAATGAGGTCTGAAAGTGTCCTGAGAGCAGAACTTCTGTCTCCATGGAGCTGAGGTGTACCTCTTCCTGGCATGTGGACATGTTTACCAACCTGGAGGCTCTTGAAATCTTGTAGTTTGGAGTTTTTATGGAGGCTTCACCACGTAGGCATAGTCAGTTATTCACTCAAACTCCAGGTCCTCTCCCTTCCTGGGAGGATGGGGGTGGGGCTGAAAGTTCAAGCTTCTTATCTTGGCTTGGTCTTTCTGGTCACCAGCTCCCATCCTGAAGTTGTCCAGGAGCCCATTAAAACAAAAGCACCCCTATCACCCCTGGAATTCCAAGGGACTTAGGAGCTCTGTGTCAGGAACTGGGGTCAAAGACAAATGTTAGAATAGAAGATGCTGCTTACGTCCGTTCGCTTGGAAAATATAAGATTTTTAGGAGCTCTGTGTCGAGAACGTGGATGAAGATTAATGTATAACTTCATATTAAATGTGCCCTTCATATTAATGCAGTATAGTCATCAGGAACATAGGCTTTGGAGCCGAACAAGAGAGGCCCAAGAGGTCTGCTCTCAGGTCAGAAGGCCTGGCTCTGTAGACAGCTCTGTGTGATTTTGGCTAAATCATTGTATGGCTTGAACTCAGATCTTCAACTGAAAAATACGCCCTGACTATTCCCAGAGGGGAAGCAGCAAGGAGGTGCTTTCAGTATAGTGATACCCACCGCTGCGTTTGGGTTGCCTGCTATTCCTTTTGGATGAGCCTCCTAACAAGGTGAGATAGGGGTTGTGGTCCCCACCCCTCCTCACTAAGTCTGGTGGCCTTTCCAATGCCCTCCAGAGACTGGAGCAAGGTGGCACGTGGGTATGCCTCTATAGTCCTTTGGTGGTCACCTGGCACCTGGGCCAGAACCCCCCTCTAAGATTTGTGGTGTGGGTGTGTGAGGGCCTCTCCTAATTTGAATATCTAGCAGCACAGTCCTGTAGAAAAGTGCCAGCAAATTTATTTTGATATGTAAATGAAACAATGTAATGAAAGGCAACATGCAAATCTTTGATTTCCTTTGAGCTTCGAAGATTGGGCTGAAGGGATTTGAGGGTGATTCAACAGGCTTCTCTGGACCTATGGGATTCAACTACGCTGCTGTATTGTTTTGAGGTGAATGGGAAATATGCAAATTATTTTGTTCCAGTGTTCTGGGGGGGGGCCCTACAACAAGGCTTTGCAATAATCTGTATGACGGCCTACATTCTATTGGACGCAGCCTAAGCAAGTAACCTGACGGAAGCTCCTAGGAGGGTCAGGGTCTGCAGAGAGGCTCTGGGAGGGTCAGGTCCAGTCATCTCTGACCCCAAGCACTCACCACCCCCCACCTCCCGGGGGCCCTTTCCTTCCCAGTTCCCTTCTGAGGACACAGTTTCTGTTTCTCCACAGAAGGAAGAGGCCAGGCAGAAGGGACTTGCTGAGCCACCCCCACTCCGCTCCATGTTGGCTGTGCTCTCAGGTGAGAAGGTGCAAGAGGTCTGCAGCTAGGAGAAGATGGAACTAAGGCATCAGGCCAGCAAAGGCAGCCATTTTGTCCAGGCTGGGAGTTCTGTGAAGTTGTCTTCAGTAATTGTGGGGGCTTCCTCCTCCTCCCAGTGGGAAAGGGGTATCTATGGCTTTCCTCTCTGGCCTATGATTTTGAAGGGTTTGACCCCTTGATCTTTATCATGACTTGAAGTATTGCTGGCCTTTTCCAGTCCAATGTTTGACATACTGGTGTTGGATGCTGGGGCTCTGGTCAGACTTGGGTTGTCTAAGATTAACCCCTGATTTCTGAGACCCAAAGTTAGTCAGCTTTCCCTAGTGTCTGACCAGCAACCTCTCACCCCCCTCTCAGCTCATCTCCTAATGTTAGAGGTCCCTTTCTTGCTCAGTCTCTGAGACCCTCCCCTGGTCTCTTCTCCTCCATCTAGGCTGGCGCCATGCCCCCCCCTGCAGAGGTGACGGACCCGTCCCATGCCCCTGCTGTCCTGCGCCAGCTCAATGAGCAGCGACTCCGTGGCCTCTTCTGTGACGTCACCCTCATAGCTGGAGACACCAAGTTCCCTGCTCATCGCAGTGTCCTGGCTGCTTCTAGTCCATTTTTCAGAGAAGCCCTCCTGGCTTCAGCTCCACTTCCCCTCCCGCCAGTTACTGGGGGGTTAACCTCCAACCCTGCCACTACTACAGCTGCCTCCTCCTCGTCCTCTACGTCCTCATCCTCCTCTCCCCCTCCAGCCTCGCCCCCCACTTCATCCCCACCCCGGGTCCTGGAGCTGCCAGGGGTCCCAGCAGCTGCCTTCTCTGATGTCCTCAATTTCATCTACAGTGCCCGGCTTGCACTTCCTGGCGGTGGGGGAGACGGGGCAGCTGTAGCAGAGATCGGAGCTCTGGGGCGGCGTCTGGGTATCTCCCGCCTCCAGGGCCTGGGGGAGGGAGGTGATGCCTGGGTACCTCCTGCCCCAGCCCCCATGGCCACTTCACAGCCTGAAGAGGACAGCTTTGGGCCTGGGCCGAGGCCAGCTGGGGAATGGGAGGGTGACAGGGCTGAGGCCCAGGCCCCAGATTCACAGCCCCCCCTGCCCCGGCGGCCCCTCCCCTGCCCTCGATGTGGGAAAAGCTTCATTCATCCCAAGCGGCTGCAGACCCATGAGGCTCAGTGCCGACGGGGGGCCAGCACTCGGGGGCCTGCAGGGCTGGGAGCTGGTGGTTCTGGCCCCAGTGGTCCTGCAGGAGTGGATGCCTCAGCCCTGCCACCACCCGTGGGCTTCCGTGGTGGCCCTGAGCATGTGGTGAAGGTGGTGGGCGGCCATGTGCTATATGTGTGCGCGGCCTGTGAGCGTTCCTACGTGACCCTGTCCAGCCTGAAGCGGCACAGCAATGTACACTCATGGCGGAGGAAGTACCCCTGCCGCTACTGTGAGAAGGTGTTTGCCCTGGCTGAGTACCGCACCAAGCACGAGGTGTGGCACACCGGGGAGCGCAGGTGAGTGGCCTGGGAGTCCAGGAATTGGGGGTGTGGGCAGGGCAGAGGGGTCAAGGGTCAGCACTCAAGGACCCCAGGGACAAGTGAGGGAAAGCACAAAGTCATCCTGAGATGCTTACTTACCCACTGCCCCTGCCCCCTGTGAATCATCATTCCCTCTAGTTCCAGTTCCTTCCACTCATGTTTATTATGTGGGACAGACTGATGAGAAAGTTGCCCTTGTAGGAAAGACTACGGGGAGCAGAGGCATGTCTACCAATAGTTATAATATGTATTTCCATTAGGTGTCCCTGTTCATAAGATGTTTTCCCCATCCTGTCATGTGAACTTTGAAAGAAGGCTGTGTGAGTTAGATGAGGTGTGTGATTATTCCCAGTTCATAGATGGAATAGTGGAGGCCTAATGTCTCACAGCCAGCGTGGACTGGTGCCCCTTCTGGCTGGTGGGGTGAGAAAAGCAGCATGAAAGGAGGGTGAGCCATTGGCTAGGGGATTCTGTGGTCTGAGTGGAGGGCAGGAGAGGACGTGGGTAACTGAGGCCCAGGCTTCAGGGCCCCTGACTCAGGGCGCTCTGCCCCTGCCTTGTTCCCTGCTGTCCTGGCCCAGGTACCAGTGCATCTTCTGCTGGGAGACCTTTGTCACTTACTATAACCTGAAGACCCACCAGCGAGCCTTCCATGGCATTAGCCCGGGCCTGCTGGCCAGTGAGAAGACACCCAATGGAGGCTACAAGCCCAAGCTCAATACCCTCAAGCTGTACCGCCTGCTCCCCATGAGAGCAGCCAAAAGGCCCTACAAGACCTACAGCCAAGGAGCCCCCGAGGCCCCTCTTTCTCCAAGCCTCACCACGCCGGCCCCTGCAGCAATGCCGACCAGCCCACCACCAGGACCCCCACCTGCCCCAGAGCCTGGCCCCCCACCCTCTGTCATCACTTTTGCCCACCCAGCTCCCTCTGTTATTGTTCATGGAGGTAGCAGCAGCGGTGGAGCAGGGGGTGGGCCAACCAGCACAGGAGGGGCCCAAGCCGCTTCAGTCATCACTTACACTGCTCCCCCAAGGCCCCCCAAAAAACGTGAGTACCCCCCTCCTCCCCCCGAGCCTGCAGCCACACCAGCCAGCCCTGCCACAGTGGACAGCCCAGCAACGGCTGCAGGGCCCGCTACAGCCACGGAGGAGGCCAAAGGCCGGAACCCCCGGGCTGGAAGGACTCTGACTTACACGGCCAAGCCTGTTGGTGGTATTGCGGGGGGCGGGGGTCCCCCCGCAGGGCCTGGCCGGGGCCCCTCTCAGCTGCAGGCTCCACCTCCACTGTGTCAGATCACTGTGCGAATTGGCGAGGAGGCCATTGTCAAGCGCCGCATCTCAGAAACTGACCTGCGCCCTGGGGAGCTAAGTGGAGAGGAGGTGGAAGAGAGTGAGGAGGAGGATGAAGAAGAGGAGGAGGAGGAAGACGAGGAGGAGGAATCAAAGGCTGGTGGGGAGGATCAGCTCTGGAGGCCCTACTACTCATACAAGCCCAAGCGCAAGGCTGGAGCTGCCAGCACCGGCAGCAGTGGGGGCAGCGGGATGCCCAGAAGCCGCCGGCCTCCGCGCTGGAAACAGAAGCTGGAGCGAAGGAGCTGGGAGGAGACCCCAGCTGCTGATGGCCCGGCAGGTCGTACTCGTGGTGAGAGGAGGCACCGCTGTGGAGACTGTGCCCAGGCATTCACCACCCTAAGGAAGTTGCGAAAGCACCAGGAGGCCCACAGTGGGGGCTCCCACAGCTCCCGGGCTGGACGTAGGCCTTCTACCCGCTTTGCCTGCCCTCACTGCGCCAAAGTGTGCAAGACGGCAGCTGCCCTGAGCCGCCATGGGCAGAGGCACACTGCCGAGCGGCCTGGGGGCACCCCCACACCTGTCATTGCCTACTCTAAAGGCAGCTCCGGCACCAGACCTGGGGATGTCAAGGAGGAAGCCCCCCAAGAGATGCAAGTCTCTTCATCCAGCGGGGAGGCAGGTGGCGGGAGCGCTGCTGCTGAGGAAGCTTCTGAGACAGCCTCACTCCAGGACCCTGTCATCTCTGGGGGTGAGGAGCCCCCAGTGGTGGCAGGAGGGGGCACCTACGCATACCCACCTGTACAGGAGTTTCCACTGGCCCTGATTGGGGGCAGCCGGGAACCTGGCAGTGGCAGGGGGAAACCTGGGAATGAGGGGCCAGTGGGGGCTGGGGAGGGGGACCGAATGGAAGGGATGGGGGCTGCCAAAGTCACGTTCTATCCCGAGCCCTACCCACTAGTCTATGGCCCCCAGCTCCTTGCTGCCTATCCTTACAATTTCAGCAACTTGGCCGCTCTCCCTGTTGCTCTTAACATGGTCCTACCTGATGAGAAGGGTGGGGGGACCCTTCCCTTCCTACCAGGGGTCTTTGGCTACGCAGTCAATCCTCAAGCAGCACCTCCTAATCCCCCAACTCCACCCCCACCAACTCTTCCTCCACCAGTACCCCCTAAGGGAGAAGGGGAAAGGGCAGGGGTTGAGAGAACCCAGAAGGGAGATGTGGGGTGAACTCTGGGCCCAGATTCCCCCTTTCACCAGATGCCACCCTCCCTGAACCCCCCCGCCACTACTAGCTCCCTGGCTTCCCTGCCCCTTGGGAGCCCCTCCACACTTTGTGCAGGGACTCGGGGGCCCCTGGAGCTCAGGGGTCAGGCTGCTTTGTGTGAGATTGTAGTTTTCCCATCTCCTGGGAAGGGGTCTTTGGTGATTCCCTCTCAGTTCTCCTCCAGGGAATGGCCTCTGTGAGGGGCAGGGCCAGCTCCCATCCCTTCTGTAGCCCTTGGGGCAACTGAGCAATATACTTATATGAATCTCTACTCACGGCCCCCACCAGCTCTGAATGTCTAACCTGCCCCCCTGATTCGTAAACCTAGGGGGAAACCATCTCTCTCACCTAATGACAACCCTCATTCTGAAGCTTTCTCTAAGCTCTTCCCCAGATGCTTCCTAGCACATTCCATTCTTTGTGGCCCAGGGCCTGGACCAGACCATTGTGATACCTGATACCCATTTGCCTGGAGGAATGGCTTTAGATTCTGTTCTTCTCAAGGGTGGGTTTCTGTGTCCCTGTTTGCTTCATGTTAAGATGCTATGCCTTCCTTGACTTCCATGCCTTTGGATCTTCCATATTCCTCCTCATACTCCCAGATTCTGGAGATGGCTTCTCCCAATCCAGGTCAAGGAGGTATTGGGGGGAGGGCTATGCGTCTGTTTCATGGTTGCGCACTTTCCCAGTCTAGGGCAGCACCAATCTTGGCCCTATCTTGACTCCCATATCCAGTGAGCCCCAGATTCTTCCACGGCAAAAGAGGTGAGTAGATCATACCTCTTCCTGCCTCTACATATGGCCTCTTCTGGGCTAAACCAGATTTGGGGGCCAGGAGGGAGGAGCTCCATATGGGATGGAGAAGGGAATGTACTTTCTCCCAGATTTTTTCCTGATGGTTTCTCCCAGACTAGACCAAATAGCCAGAAAAATGATGGGGGTTGGATGGGTGGGTAAGCCCAAGATTTGCACATGACCTCCCATCCTTACCTTACTCCCATCTTCCCCAGTATTGCTCCCCTTACCAATCACTCCAGATGGTTTTTGGAGAACCATCCTACTCCCTTGGTGGGCTTTGGGGTATCCCCACCAACTTTCCCTCCAAAATAGCACCTTACACCCCGTCTTTGACTCAGTTCCCCACACCCAAAGATCCCAGCCTAGGGATGGGGTGCAGGGACCTTAAATAGTCCCTAATCCCTAATTTGCACTAGTTAACCCTGGTCAGGGGTCCCTATGTTTCCTTCCAGTGGGGGAGATAAGGAAATGTTTGCTCCTAATTCTCTTTGATAACTGGGCCTCCTCACTCTGTGATTGGATGAACATTTCCCATCCCACCCACCTCCCCCACTCAAAAAACAAACAAAAAGTAGCTCACAAGGGGAGAGCCAGTTTGGGGCAGCAAATTTAATAAATGGGAATTAGAGGAGTACAGTTTTAAAAGGGGAAAAGTTGCTGTCATCAAATGTCAGTCTTTTTCCCAGCTACTGTTTTCTGGGGCCAAGATGGCTGCCCTCTTCACAGATGCTGAGAGGGCAAGATCATGGCTTTTGGAGGGAGGTGAGTTTGGGGGGCGGGGCAGGAGCATCCTCCTGCCTCTTAGCCTCCCAGCATATAGGAAGGGGGAGGTTTTTGACAGACTCCCTGAATGTTAACCACGGAGGAGTGTTGCTCCTTCACTCCTCCTCTGTCTCTTTGCACTTTTCTTGGTCTTGGCCACAGTCCGAGTGAAGAGTTTCCTACTGAATGTACCAAGTTCCAATTTTTAAGGGGGAAAAGTTTAAAACGGGGGAAATGCAAAAAAAAAAATCACAAAAAAATTCCCACAAATCTTGTTTCTGGCACTTTAGAAAAACTGCGAAAAAAATACATAATAAAGAATACATATATATATCTACACACAAATTATATATATATATACACAGCGGAACCACAAGAGAGACCGAGGGCAGGGGGCAGAATTGGTGAGAGTCCACTTATATCCTTACCTTGCACTCATCTGAGGCAAACTTGCACAGAAGATGGAAGGCGTTGAGGATGGAGTGGGGGATTTGAATTTCAGAACAGGTAAAAATTCCAAAACCATGGACATTTTGGGAGAACTGAGATTGTAGACATTTATTTTTTTGAAAATATGATTTAGGAAAATAGTTTCTGGAATTTGGTGGTTCTGGGCAACAAATGAGATTGTGGCAAAAATGGAGATTAAAATATATGTATTTGAACTGGGGGACTTGAATATTGTGGATTTCAGATGTTAGAAATTTGGGGTTTTTGCAATTTTGTCTTTGGAAAACTAGCAAGTCTTGTCAGTTAGTGCCCGCTTTCCCCATGTTCCCTGGGAAGAAGGGTGAGGGTGGAGTGGGAAGGCCACTGGTTCTGTGCCACAGCACGCAAGATTTAGAATTCTACAGACTCTAGCTCTATATGTAGTGAGGACCCAGATTTAGAGAAACTGACCAATATTTATCTCAGCATTTGTGTGTGTGTCCAACTCTAGGCCAATAAACCAACAAGACAAACGAACCGTGCTCCACAGTGGGATGCCAGGTGCAATTATTTGCGTGGCTTGTGGGTCTGGCTTACCAGGGACATGCTAACCTTGTCCCACAGGGATTCCTGGGATTGTAGGCCTATTCTCCCTCTTAGGACAACTACTTCTAAAAATTGAGTAGGTGTGAGACCTGGTTAATGCTACTTCACATTAATTGCTGCAGCCATTGGGCTCAAGCTGACTTTAGTGTGACCTCCAGGCAGAAACATTAACTCAGTCCATTCCACATAGGCTGCTGGGCACAAGATCTCTGTCCCAGAAAGACCCTGCTTTAAACCAAGTGCAACCTTTTCTTCAAACTGAAAGGAAACTGAGTAGTAAAATGTGTGATAGCCAGAGTGGACACAGTGACTTTTCTTTTTCTATTCCCAGCCTCCTCTTTGGTTTCAACACCTGGCCCCCTCTTCTCCCTTGTACTTTTTCTAGTGTTATGGATGGGCAGATAAAATGTCAGGTGGGTGGGAGCTTAGAGAAATTCTGGCATAAATACCTTGACCAGAGTGGGCAGCCACTGATCAGCACTAGTGGTGTACTGCCAACGGGGAATCAGATCCAGTGTTGCTGTAGTTTTTGGAATTTATTGAGAAAAGTCAGAAATCCAGATTTCACTGTGAAATACCCAATTTTTAAAAATAGTGAACTAATTCAAATTGAAAAAACTGCAAGCCAACAACTTGTCAAAAAGTACAAATTTGCAAATTTTGATATAAACTGCATAGCACTTTTCCCATATTCTCACATGATCCTTGGACTATGGAGAAGATACGCAGTAGCTTCATTTTACAGATGTGGAAACTTAGGCACAGAGCAGTTTAGTGACTTGCCCAAAGTCACTTTGGTGACAAGCACCAACGCTGGAACTTGAATGGAGGTTTTTTAAATGTGCTTTTTTCCTCCCTCATTACAAATACATCCTTTTAGAAATGACCTTTTTTATCCTATAATAATACTCATCACAAAACATCATAAATTACAGAGAGGTAAAAAAGGAGGAAAAAAAATCACTAGTCCCAACATGCAAATATAAGCACTATTAATTGGTGTATTTTCTTCCAGAAAAAAAAATTTTTTTTTGCCCTATGATTCAACTAATGATAAACATCTCTAGTTAAGGGCCTATGGCAGGGGCCAGTGATATTACAGTGAACATGAATGACACAGTTCATGCCCTTCTAAGGCTTAGTTCTTGTTCTTTGTTCCATTTCATTGGGGATCTAAGCGCTGCTATCTAAAAGAGGGTCTTCAAAAAGCCAAAGAGTAAATAAGCTAGTAGTGTATTTCAGGAGGGCCCAAGACCTTCACTTCCACTCCCTCCCTGAAAGGCAATGCCGAGAGGAAGGGATTCCTAGTGAAGGAGGTGAGGCAGAAAGGAGTAGAACTTGAGAGTACTGCCGCACTCTCCATTCAACTGACCGAGGGCGTGGGTCTCTCTCTCTCTCTCTCTCTCTCTCTCTCTCTCTCTCTCTCTCTCTCTCTCTCTCTCTCTCTCTCGTTAGCACTCAGGGAAAGGGGTCAGCAGGGGGCAAGTGGTATGTTGCATCCAGGAAGATGACTAGGGTCCCAACGCTGGTGAAGATAATGAAGGTCCACAGGAAGAGGCGGTCCACTACCATCGCCACAAACTGCCAGTCTTCCTTCAGCTGGATAGGGGTAGGCAGAGGAAACTGTTCCTGAGCTCAGAACCCCAGGGGAGGCGGCGCCCCGCCCTGCCCCCCCCCCCAAGCCCTGTACCCTGTCCAGGTCCTCCAACCACAGTTCTACGGCTAGGGTGGGCAGCAGAACAGACCCGAGCCAAACTGCCATAGATGGGTGGAAGTGACCAGCCAGTTGGAAAGCATGGGGGGGGACCAAAGAAACAAACGTCCAGTCAGGGATAAAGCCGAGTGCGGGGGGCGGAGCCAGAGTTTGCTGGAGGCCCTGCCCGGCTCCACCCTCCAGACTCACCGCGTCGAGATCCTCCTGTTCCTGCAACTGTCGAGCGATGTAGCCGATGGAGGAAACGACCTCCCGTAGCTCAGGAGGCAGGCCCACAGCCCGGTTTGGACCGTCGAAAAATCGCCTCAGGTCTGGGGCAGAGAGTTCAGGCTGGAACCTGGAAGAGGCGTGACTGTTCGGCCATGACCAGGAGAAAAGACAGTTTGCGTCACTGCTCTAAGCCCCGTCCCCCAACTCCCTCCTCCAACACCCTGCCACTTTTCAAAGCCTGAGAGGGCCCTTCAGGTTCTCCGCGCCAGCGGCGATCTCCACAGCCGTCTGCAATTCTTCCCATCCATACACGTTTTAGCGCCCACCTTCCCGCAAAGTGATCAGCACAAGGGATACTACAACTCCCATGATGCTCAACAACATCATATTCCGGGAGATTAAGCCTCCTGCCGCAGCACAGTCTCCTGGGAATTGTAGTTCTCCCTCTAAGTGGGCGAAAGGGCGCAGGTACCTGTTGGTTTTGGAGAAGAGAAAATCACTCGGTGGTTTCCGGATGAAATATTCATCTGTTCCCCGGCCCCAGCCACTTCCTGGCGAATCCCTGAGAGCTAGAGGAGGTGGCTCCATCATCTGGTCTCTCTCAGGTTTGGGCCTCTTCAGACCCAGGTACAGAGGGAGCTTGTGGATAAAGATCTGCAAAGTAGAAGAAAGTGGGTGGGTGGGGCGGGGGAGGTATGGGGTGGTCATATGCTTTCAAGTCATAAGGTAAGTAACAACCACCCCGACTCCACAGGCCTATTTTTGCGTGGGAGTGCATATGTCCCACCGAGCTACACGGACAGGGACATGTAACCACACAGCCTTAAGAGCTCTTAAGTAAGTTAGGAGGTAGCCTAATCGGAAAGAGAAGTCCTGAGGGTTTCAACTATGAGAATGTTTCCTGAGACCCCAGCTGGGCAATATTGATGAAGCTCAGTATAGGACCTAAGAAATGCTAATGATGGAAGAGTAAAATTGTGCAACATTTCAAAACCCAACAGGCTTTGACATTTCAATAGTCTACCAGGAGTTGTAGTTCTCCCTTAGGTCTGTGAAAGGAAAGGTTGAAATTGATGGAAGGAAAGCGTGATACCTCCCACAGCCAAATACTAAGGTTTTTTTTTCCCTCCTTTTTTTGAAGATTTTTTTGTACGCTTACAAGAACTGGGGTACAGGCCAGAGGTGTAGGGGGTAAGAGGATTCACCAGAGACAGAGTAGGGAAGAGAACAGGTGGACTGATTGAAACACAATGCTGAGGGGAGCAGTGGTCCAGACAAGAAAGGTCTGCTGTGCTATGTGGGTCAGCTCCCTGGCCAGAGATCCGTGCTGTGCTGCAGTGGCTGCAGATAGCTTCATAGTGCTGCAACGTAACCCCTTGCACCATCAGGGAGGTCCCCAAATACTAAGGTTGAGAATACAGGTTGGAGGAGGAAATCTTACCTGACGGACCCAAAGGGGCATTTGGTGGGTGTGGGGTGAGCGGTGGTGCAGGTTGAGGACTACAACACTAAGGATGACTGAGAAAGTGACGAGCACCATGGTAAACATGAGGTACTTGATAATGATGGGGACCGATAGGGATGTCTCAGGAACTTTGTCTGCCAGCAGCAGCAGGAACACAGTAAGGGTCAGCAGGGCAAATATGGAGAGCCCCATCTTCTCTCCTTGGGGGGGCAGAGGGAAAGGCAGAAGGATTAGACTTGTTATAAGGCAATCTCCATGATATAATCAGTGACCTACTCTAGGACAGATTTTTTTGGAGGACCAACCACATAAAAATGAGTCCTACATTTGTATCTCTCTCCAACTTGATCTTATTACCTTGAACTCCAGATTCATATGGACCTGCCTACTTAAACTCTCCATTTGGATGTCCTACTTTCCTCACCCCCAACTATTCCCATAGTTTTCCTCATTTCATAAATGACAACTCCATCTTTCCTGTGGCTCAGGCCAGAATCCTTTGAGTCATTCTCAACTTTTTGTCTCTCATCCAATATCCAATTCATGCAAATCTTATTGGCTCTACCTTCAAAATATATCCTGAAACTGATGACTTCTCACATCTGCCACTCCCACCCTGATACAAATAACCATTACCTCAGGCTCGAATTATTATAAAGGCCTGCTATTTGCTTCATTCTTTGCTCTCTTGCTGACTGTTCTCTATAGAGCAGCCAGATTGATCCTATTAAAATGTAAAGCATATCATGTCACTCCTCAAAACCTTGCAGTGGCTTTCCATCTTCAGCATAAAGCCAAAGTCTTTACTATGATCTACAAGGCCTTCCCATTAGCTCTCTGACTTCATCACCTTCTATTTATTTCTTGCTTATTTCATTCAGTTATACTGGCTATTTCTTGAATATGCAAGGCGTATTCCCAATTCAGGGCCTTTGCATTCAGTGTTAGCTCCTGGTACATTAATCCTCCATATACCTGCCAGGCTCATTCTCTCACCTCCTTCACATCTTTGTTTAAATACTGACCAATATCCCCTGTTTAATGAGGCATGTGATGACTATCCTTTTTTTTTTTTTTTGAGACCTAAGTCATATATGTATCACACCCACCCCCAAGACCACTCAGGCCAAATCAGCTTGTCCCAGCCCCCAGAGTGACCAGTCTATTATTTTTCCTTTCTTTTTTTTTTAAAAAGATTTATTTATACAAGCACTGGGTACAGTCAGAAGCATGGGAGGGTGAGAGAATTCATCAGAGCCAGAGTGGGGAGCAGAACAGGCAGACTGACGAAGTACACTGCTGAGGGGAGCAGTGGGCGCAGCAGGAGAGGTCTGTGTGCCATGTGGGACCCTCGCTGGTGGCCGGGGATCGAACCGGTGCTGCAGAGGCTGCCGGCAGCTTCGCAACCCAGTGCTCAACCACTGCGCCACTGGGGAGGCCAGCAACCAGTCTATTTTTAAATTTTAATTCCTATTCCCATTCTTATCCTTCCCAGCTCCTTTTCTTACTGGATTGTCTTCCTTAGGACTTGTCCTCTACAAATATACTGTCTACTAGATTTGTTTATTGAGTTTATCAACTCCCCTGCTAGAATGTAAACTCAAAAAGGGCAGGAATTTTGTTCTTTTATTCATTGATGTATTCCCAGTGCCTGGAGCATTATGCTCTAGGTGCTCAACAAATATCGTTGCATGAATAAACAGACCAACCCCAGTCACACAAGCTATACAGCAGCTTGAAGGATCTAAAAATGAAACCCCGTATATAAGGATAAGCGAGGTGGCTGATTTTTCCTGTGGCATAAAACAAGGGTTGCTGCAAGCTTCATGGAAAGCACTGAAAGCAATAACTCGTGTGGTTTGTTCTGCTTTAGACCTGTAATACTGGGTTCCAAGATTTTCTCTGCTCCAGAAGGAAGCAGAAGTTACATTTGGAAATCTGTTCTAGAGCTGCATCATCTCCTCCCCTAGACAGAGGACTTGATGCCTAAGAGAAGGAAAGCATGTTTGAATACCAAAATTAAGGATGGCTGGTCTTTGAATCAGACTGACACTAACCAGGGTTGGAATAGCAACACTACCTCTCTCTGACTGTGTGATGTCAGGCAAATTTATTAAACGCCCCATCTCTTTATCTTCCTCTGTAAAATGGGAAGACAGTTCAGTAACTCACCTCACACACAGCTGTTATAAAGATTAGAAATGAGTGAATATATAACATGTTCATTGTGCTACCTTAAATCAAATGCTCAAAAGTAGCAAAGACACTTAAATAGAACTTACTGGGTATTAGGCATTGATCTATTAATTCAATTAGCCCTCAAAATAATCCTGTGCCATAGGGACAATGCACATTGTCTCCATTCCAAGTAGGGAAACTGAGGCACATAAAGGTTGAGGTCTTGGTCCAAGGTAACCCTGTTACTATATTATTCTGCATCCTGAAGAGATGTTGGCTATTACTTCTCAGGGAGATGGTTATAGGGGATTATGGGTGTCTGGAAAGTGGAGGAGGGAGGATGCAAGTATGGGGAAAGGGAGAGTCATCTGAGTTCAGGGGTTGTTGGCCAGATGAGTAGAGGTTCCAAGGAAGAGAGCCTAGGATTCTAAAGGGAAGAGTATGGAAATTACTGGGTGGATGGAGGTGGTCAGCAGAGGGGAGGCAGAGCCTGAGGTTCGAAGAAAAACCTGGCTCTAGAAGGCCAGGTTCTGGCTGAAGTAATCCCACAACCTGGGTGGGATTACTAAAGCACAACCCATGATGGCTTGGGTTGGCAGGAAATGGCTTGGATTAAGGGTGAAGAGGAAGAAGTTCAGTTATTGATAAGAAGGAAGGTTGGGGCCCCTTTCTCTCACCTGCATCTGGTGGAAGGTAGAAGACAAAGATGGCCAGGAGAGTGATGAGGATGCATGGGGCAATAACGTTGACGAGGTAGAAGAGAGGCTTCCGGCGAATGATGAGGTAGAAGATGACTTCTTGATGATGCCGTCCTTCCCCACCACCCCTAGGACTCACTGGAGGCTGGACTAGCCGAGAAGGTTTGTGGATAATCTCCCATTGGCCATTCTCTTGGGGGTTGGGAGGGGTGTGAAAACAAAGGAACACAGATATGGGAACTTTCCTGCACCATCCTAGAGCAGAGGGGGATTCTGTGATAAGGGGCTAACTGTGAACTCTGGGCTGTGCAGCCATCTTTTTTTTTTTAAGATTTATTTATTTATGCATATAAGAACTGGGGTACAGGCCAGAGGTGTGGGGGGTGAGAGGATTCACCAGATACAGAGTGGGGAGCAGAACAGGCAGATTGACTGAAATACACTGCTAAGGCGAGCAGCGGGCGAGACAGGAGGGGTCTGCTGTGCTATGTGGGTAGCTCCCTGGCCAGCTGGGGATCGAACTCATGCTGCAGATGCTGTGCGGATAGCTTCATAGTGCTGTGCTTAACCCCTTGCGCCACCAGGGAGGCCCCTGTGCAGCCATGTTTAATAAGCTTGAACAAGTTTCAGTTTCCATATTGGTGAAAGGTAGACAGACAGTCATACCCATCTTGCTGACCCTGCAAAGTTGTACTGGACATTGCTGACAGAGTATATTTATCGGTCTGTCAGAAGCTAAGAGTGGGAAGAACAACAACATGGGAAAAGGAGCCATGCCCACTCACCAATGAAGGTCCCTTCATGAATGTGCACTTCCTGCCTCTCCTGCCCATCAGGACCCAAGCCAGTCTGCAGGCTGACCTCTGAGCTGTCATAGCTATAGGAGCTGAACACCATGGTGCAGTTCTGCCAGTCGAAGGGGAAGTAGGTGACCTGGATGGAGGGAAGAGTTACTAGAGCTGTCAGAACTGGAGGGAACTGGGGGGATTTGGGAGTCACTGGGGAGGTCACAGGGCAGATAGTAGTCAGAGGACACCAGGGGTGGCCATGGAAAATGAAGGAGGGGTCACTTAGACAGGAAGTCAATGAAAGTGTACAGAGAAGATGAAACTCAACGGAAAATCGCGCGGGGGGGGGGCCAAAAGGGATGTGAAACTTATGGGGAGATAACAGAGGAGGGCTGGTAGTAGCTGGGGAGTCAGGATTTCTGAGGAGAGGGAGGTCCCTAAGGACGCCTTGAGCCTCCCAGGCGGAGCCCAGAGACCTGAATGCTGCAACTGCTACGATAGATGCCCGGGGGCTGCCAGCGCACGGAGCCGTCAGAGGACACCACGACGTTAATGTCCAGCGCGACGTCAAAATTTCCATCATTGCTGCAGGGAAGGAATCTTCTCATCTGCGACTAGGCCCCGCCCCACCGGCGGCCCCACCCACCAGCGGCCCCGCCCCATCCCCCAGGGTTTGGGACTGTTCTACTTGTTCAGGAGCACCACGTCCGGAAGCCACACAGATTCGGCGGTGATGCGCAGGGAATCGATGTCTTCGTGCTCTGTGGGGTCCCAGCTCAGCCTGTAGTCTTTCCACTCCTAGGGAAGGAGAGGTTGAGGGGTTGTCGGCGACTGAAAACTGGGAGACTTGCGCTCCCGAAAGGGAACAGCAGGGAGGGCAGCAGGCCGGGGTTCAGATTCCGGCTCCACCTGTACTTGATGGGATCCCATAACATTTCTCTTTCTCTCGCACCGGACCCCTTTTTTTTTTTTTTTTAGTCTGTGAAAGTGAGGTAACTGCACTAGCTATCCTCTGAAAATTTGTTTTTTTTCAAACTGCAATTTGTAAATCAAATTAGTAACCACAAATCAGTGTTTTAAAAATGAGAATAAAAATTGCATGAAAATAGGAATTGTCTCCTGAAGCTTCTGTTTCAGTTATAAAAGTGTTTTTCTGAGGTCCTGATGCAATATACATATAAAATCTTACGAGGTCGGACATAAGAGGGAATTGTAAAGCAGCGGGGCGCCCTTTCCCACCCAGGAGGTCTCCGTACCAAGTCTAGGTACACCTTTGTGCTCATCTCCTCATCCTTCTCGTTCTAAAAAAAAAAAAAGTTTAAAAGGTAGAGGTGATGTGAGTGGAAAGAAATAAGGGGGGCTCTCCGAGTCAAGCTCTCCTTGGAAACTCCCGGCTTTATCCTAGTCCCCCCTTCTTGGATGCAAGCCCCGCCCCCCAGGGGCTGCCGGAGTTTAAGCCCCCGCCTCTAACTCAGCAACTTCATGCTCTATGCAATGACTGCCAGTCAATTCCACTGCCCTGGTCTTCTCCCGACCCCACGCCAAGCTAAGTCCCGGGCACCAGTAGACAGTTCATCACACACCCAACCCTAAATCCCCGCACGCTGTGGCCCAAGGACCCCATTTGGCATCAAGCTCCGCCGCAAGCTGTGATCCCCCACCACCCCCAAGGCCCGCCCGCCTGTCAGTCTGTGGGGCCCAGTTCCACTTGGAGACCCGCCCACAGGCAGAGTCTCACCCTCCCGACTCTGCCCCGGGCCCGGCCAGCAGCCACGCCCCGCAGCTCATCCATTGGTCCGATATTTCAGACCAATTTCCGCTAACTCAGCCTGACCCCGCCCCCAGCTGGCTCTCGGTCTGGCTTCGCCTAAAGCCACGCCCCCCAGCTGCCAGGGGCGCGACCTCAACCCCCCCCCGCGCGCTCACCAGGCTGATGAGCTGCGCCAGACTGAGACCAATGCTGACCCCGACGCGGTCTCCCACCTCCCGCGCCGGCCTCACCGAGCTGTCATAGCCCGAGAAAAGCTTTTCCCGGAGCCGGCCCTCTGCTTCCGAGCCGCGGGCGCCTGGAAGAGGAGAGCGCTAGGTGAAATCGTGGTGACCGGCCACAACTCGGGACCCTGTCCCTGCTTCTTCGAGGCCCAGACTTACCCGGGGCGAGTGGCATCCCCAGCGCCCCCAGCAGCAGCAGCAGCGCCCCTGGGGTCATCGCCTGGCCGCGTCTTTCAGTGAATTCGCTCGGTGAGCAGCCAGGACAGTTAACCCAGGGGAAGTGACGAGCCTCTGAGGAATGTGCACCTGTTGTTGGGGGGCAGCCGCCAACCCACCCGCTCCGCCCCAGGAACTTGGTACCGCCCTGAGAAACTGCCAATGCCCGCCACCAACAGATGACAAAGACTACACTTCAGTTGTATAAATCATCTTTAATTGAGAAAGCATGGAGTGGAGACCCGGTCCCCTGAGAGCAGTCAGGAGATGGGTGGAGCCTGAGCGGGGGTTTATGTGGGCCAGGGGAACAGCTACCCCTCTTGCAACAAGCCAGAAGTAGACAGCCTGAGGAAAACTGGCCTGCCTCTGAGCCCTAGTCCCTCCATTGAGGACCTCCTCAGTTTACCCTGCCTGAGACTACCTGTCTCACTCCTAGTTCATTAATTTATTCCTGATCTTTTCCAGGCCTGCCCCTAGATCTCCATATTTTCCAGAAAAATCTAGTCAGGCCCTTTTTGGGTACTTAAACCCAGCTGAGGTTATAAGCTGTAAAGTAAAGCAATTTCTATTCAGTTAGAAATTATAGGGGTGTATGAGGTCTAGAGTCCAAGAGGCCCTCACCCTCCTTGGCCTGGCCCTGTTGAGGGAAGGGGGTGGGACTTATTGCTGAATTGGGTTCTCTTCACTGGGGGGGGTGGGAGGGGGGAGGGGACAAGGCTGTGTCTCATTTGTCCTTTTTATTCTAGACCTGTTACCCTAAAGACCTCAGCTTTAAAGGGGACCTGGAAGAATTTCCTGCTGAGGTAGCTAAGTGTTCACATTTCCCCAACCCAGGCACAGGTCCAATCATGCTGTAGTTTTAGCCCCATCCTCATTCCAGCTTCCCTACTATGAGCCTGTTACGGATTTCTTCCAAAACTTTGCTGCCCCTCCTTAGACTCTGTTTCCCTGGTAGAACCTCAGCTGAGTTGCAAGAGCTAGAAATTGCATGTAAAAATAAGATTAACATTCTATAGGAAGAATAAGATTTTTAGAAAATTATCTATGAAAAACAAGAAGTGGTTCTTGATTCACCCAGAACTTAGTTCTTTGTGAATCATAGCTGAGTCCTTTCCAGAGCTCATTTTTAATAGGTAACACTACAGAAGGTGGGAGGGTGGATCTAGAACTTATTCTAGAGCAACAATATGGCTATATAGGCTCCATCATGGAGGGAAGGGCTGAGAGTCATGGTCTATGTCCTAGAGAGCTGAGATTCAGAAGGAAGTATGGCTCCATAAGTGTCTAGAACACCATACTCTGGAATTGGGTGTCTCTGGGATAAGAAATTTAAACCTGTGGTAATCTGAGACTGGCCCCAGTTTAGGCCAAGGCCAACAGCTGTATAGGGTTCAAATCCAGTCTGTCTTTACTTGGAAACCAGGGGTCCATCTGGGTCAAGGATAGATGCCTGATGGATCCAGAACAGAGCCTGGCAGCATGCCTGCATTACAGCACAGAGCTCTAGTGCAGAAATGACCCTGGCTATGGTGCCTGATGTTCCAGAACCTGTCCAGAACAAGGCAGAAGGTGGAGTAGGGAATGAAAGAAATTAATCCTAAGCTCCAGTGGATCTATGGCTCAGTCGCAATGAAAAGAATACAGGGCTCTAGGAACTGGATGAGCCCAGGGTCAGGAGTATTATGCCCTGATTATGTCAGTTTGGGAACCCCCAGCGCCCTCTCAGGAAAAGGCTTTGGGTGGGGGGTATTAGTGTGGAAGGAAAGAAGTGATCAGCCAGGATCATTAACAGATTATCTCCCTCTCTGACCCCCTCCCAGGCCCAAAGATCTAAAGGTCTCAGCAGCCCTGGAAGTCACAGCCAGCCCCTAGGCTCCCTCAGGGTTGAGCACCTGGTGGGACCTGGCTGCTCGGGGAATGAGTGTGGCAGCAGGGGTGAGAGCAGGGCCAGGAGCAGGGCTGGAAGACAGGCTGTGGCGGTGACTGGCTCAGTGCGAATGCAGGGAGCCTCCAGTCCAGTGAGTACATTTCAGGGGGCAGGGGGACTGGAAGGGGAGTTGTCAGGGACACTGTGGAGAGAAGGTTCCCGGTACATGGCCACTGTGAAGGGGAGAGAGAGGAGCAAGGAAGGAGAGTTAGGTACAGAGACTTGGGCAGAATCAAAACTCTAAGGGCATCCATCCCTATACTCATCATCTAGGAACCCCAACCCATAGGAACCCCAACCCAAACCCCCAAAGGCCAAAGCCTTCCTGACTTGACCTGTCATAACAGGTGTGCTCTTAACACTTGTAGCCCCTGAGCTGTGGTCACTAAATGTTCATGTCAAGGTCAATACCTTCCCATGTAGCCCACCTTCTCTTGAACTTATACTTACCTTCCAGGAGCTTGGGCACAAAGTGGGCGGCAGCCTTGGTCTTTTTCACTCGGTTTCCCTTCATGACGCGACCCTCCTTGTCCAGGCCTAGGTACCAGGCCCGGCCAGAACGGCGCTGGCGGTAGAGAGCAGAGGCATACAGGACATAGTAATTTTCAAAGACGCACTCCTTAAAGCGACACTCAGCTGTGAAATGCGGCTGAGGAGACAAAGACCCAGAAAGGCACACATAGACAGAGAGACAAAGAGACACATCACTGGGCAGAAGGAAGCCCTGGGAATAACAAGCTAGGATATAATCTATACATATCGGGCTGGGAGGGTCAACTTCTGAGTCCATGCAAAAACTAGGAGAACGAGGGGTGAAAGAAGAGTCTGGTAGGCCCCTGAGGGTTAGGAACTAGACTTCTGGAGACACTGGAATAAGAAGGTAACTTCACCCTACTCTCAACTCTTACCATCTCCTATCCTAAATGACTCTGGGGAAGTAATAAGGAAGTTTGGTGGAGGTAGGATGAGAAATAGGAATGCCAAAAGATTCAAAGAATTGGACATTCGAAGAGCCTAAGAGTATTGGGGGACTGTGTGAGGTGTACAGAGGGGAGGGACCCTGGAGGAAGTGCTCTGGAGTAGGCAGTAATGACAGGACATCAGCAAGAGTTGGAGGGAGAGGCCTGAGCTGCAATATCCTGTATCTGTAGTTGAGATGGATGTAGCGGGGGGAGCCCCAATACCCCAGGCCACTCAGCCTCGTCTCACCGAGCTGTAGAGCAGCCCCTCAGCGTTCATGGCCATGTAGTGACCCAGCTTGGCACTCTGGATGGTGACCACACGGAGCCCCACAGGGATCAGGTTGAAGTGGGCTGGGGGTGAAGAGATGGGGTATCAGTACCCTAGACCTAGAATCCCCATCTGAGCTCCCCCCATCCCAGTTCTACTTCTTCCCTGGGAGTCAAAGGGGCAGACTGGAAATAACAGACCCTGAAGGAGGAATAGGACTGTCATTCTATTCTATCCCCATTCTCCCCCTTCCCACCCAGCAGCTGGCTTCCCCTCTCACTGAAAGAGCTGGTGTCCTCTGGGGTGCCCTGGATGCTCCCGTCAGGATTTGCCTGGAGGTAGAAACCCTGGCGGCAGAACAGTTTGGTGACGATGCCTTTGAGCTGAGGCTCTGGAGAGAGAGACATTCATCTTTGAAAATGACATCTCTGTTCCCAGAAATATTCCCATACTTAGCGGAATCAGAGGAAAGAAGAGAAAGCAGAAGGAAGAAAGCAGCCCTGGGCCCCAGGGCCCCAGCTATCTGACCCTCTAAGTGAGCTCTTTCCCACCTCTGACTCCTGAGGTAGTGGGGTGTGGGCTCCTTCTGCTACCTCTCATCGCCAGTTTTCAGTTTAATTTATTGAAATTTATTTAAATGGCTTAATTCCTACTCTACAGCTCAATCTGAGGGGGAGGGGAGACGAGGGAAGTGGAAGGGGAGAGACACAGCAAAAGGCGGAGGACAGGGGGAAACAGGCAGGGACGCGGAAGGGGCGATGTGTTTGCCAATGTAAGGGGTGGTGGGGTGACCACCGGGTAGGGGCGCCCCCTCAGGAGTGGGGGTGGGTCTGGGCCTGACGCTGACTCAGCACCTGCTGCTGCGGCTGCTGCTTGCTTGGCGCGGGCCTCTCCTTGGCCCGGTGCCCGCCTGTCTGACACTGACCCATCTGTCAGTCTGTCAGTCTACTGGCTCGCGGGGGCCCAGTCCTCCCCGAGGTTCAGCCTCTCCCCTCAGCCAGGTAACCCGCCTGGGGTGGGCGACCTTCCGTACCAAACCAAGGAAATGGGGGCAGGGGGCCCAGGAGATGCCGAGACCGGCTGAGTCACGTGGGGGCCGGGTCCCCCTGAAGGGTGGGCTGCGGACCGTACCACTATGGAGGGTCGGTGGCGGGGGGAGGGGGAGAGAAGACAAAAGGGGGCCACCCCTAGGGGAGCCGGGTGCGGGCGGGGGCCGGGCCAGAGGGACTCCCTGCATGTGGTACCTGGACGGGGACCACACACTAACCCTCACAGCTCTCCTTTCCCGTCGCTCGCTCTGGGCCGACTTCCCTGGACTCTCTTGTAGGTGGTACGAACCCCCCAGTCTCCCAGCGGGTCTCCAGTGGTGAACTGTGTCAGAGTTCTTGCCGGCAGAGGGTCCCCTGAGCTTGTAGGGCCCGATTTCGGAGTCGCGTAGGGGGTTGTGGGGGTTCCCAGCGCCCTCCGTGAAGCGCTGGTCACGGGAGGAGGGTGCACCGAGGGGCGGGCTGGCAAGGTAGCTGCAAGGACACCCGGGGGAGAGCTGGGGAGACTGGCGCCGATCCAGGCGAGCTCGGCCGGGAGGAACCAAGCCGAGGCGTGGAGGAGCGGGAGAGCCAGGCGGGGGCGGGGCTGCCGGACCGCAGAAACCCTCCGGGTGACCCAGGCGTCCGGAGCCCCCAGGCCCCGCTGCTCGAGAAGAAAGAATCGCGAGAGCCTGCACGTAGGCGGAGGACTACGCGGGGGTGGGGACGCCAGTGTTGGGGGTGGGGGGCGTGCAGGAGCTGCGAGGCGTTGGAGCGGCACTCTTAGCCCCTCGAGTCTTCCCTTTGCCCCCGAAAGCAAGGAGACTCGGGTTATGGGCAAAAGAGAAGGGAAACTGAGGCATAGCCTAGCGGAGACTTTGTCACCCTGACCCACCCCCTTTCACTTTCGCGGAGCCCCCGCCTACCCCCCCCCCCACCATTGGGCCCTATTCTTCAGACTCCCAAAGTCCTTGTCCTCAACCGCCCAGGCAGAGACCCCCGGGCCCGGAGACCCCGCCCCAGCCACTCACCCGGGCCACGGTCCGGCCGCGCGGGCCGCCCCCCGCACAGTCGCACCTTGGACAGCAGGATGAGGAGCTGCTTCTGGCAAAGGGACTTGGTGCCGCGGGGACACACGCGCCGCTGCGCCGACACGGGCCGGCTGCCCCCAGGTTCGCGGACCTCCCGCTTCTGCCGGATCAAGCTACTGGCCAGCGCCGCCATGGCGCCCCGGGAGGAGACACCCCCAAACCGGCAGGCGCCCGGAGGGCGCTGGGCTCCCCCAGAGAAGCCCGTTCACCAGGGCATGCTCTTGAAGCTCAGGTCTGGCTCTCTGTCCCACCCACAGAACCTGAGGATAAGCCCCAGGCCCACCCACCCAGTCGCCAGCTCCCACCCTTGGGCCCCGGGCTAGCTCCACCAGATCCAGCAGCCTATGTACCTCTCGGTTGACCCCACCCTCAACTTGGGCTCCCTATTGGAACCCCCTTTCCTGCTCCCCAGTGTTCCTGTTCCCACTTTCCTCCCCCAAAGCTAAGACCCTCAAAATTTCCAAGATGTGACTCCAGTATAGATACCCAGGCACCTTTCCACCCTATTTCTTGGAACCTAAAGGGTGTAGGTCCTTAGTTTTGGAGATAGTAGCCCGCCCCACCCCTTATTAGGGTGCTGCCAATGTCAGGGGGAACCCAACCTTGGTGTCTTTTGCTTTGACAACCTCGAAGTGAAAAAGAACCCCCACTTTTTCCCACTGAATACCCCAAAACTGCCTCAGAATATCCAGACTGTCCCTATTCAGTGAGAAGGGGTTCCCAGACCCAGTCTCTGAACAATTTTTCTCTCACCAAGTCACCCCCATTTCTAGTGGCACAAGGTGCCAGCTGCTGAGCCCCTTCCCTCACCTTGTCACCCTCCACTCCTTTTGAAGTCACCTCCAAATCCGCCCTTCCTAGTGGATACACCAGGTGGTTGTCTGGAGAGCCCTGTCACCTCAAAATAAGGAGCATTTTTTTTTCTGATTGCCCCTTAATTTCCTTGGGGACAGCTGGTGCTGTTTAGATCCCACGCCCTCCAATCCAACCAGCCCCCCGAGAGAGGAGTGCACCCACGTTGTCACCAGTCCCCAAATGTGAACGGCCCCCCACAAGTCAGAGCGCATCAGAGCTTTCTGCGACAGGGTTTCCTTCTCCTCCCCGGGACTGCCTCTAGCACCCCCTCTTCCTTCCCCGACGCCCCTCAACCTGTCCTGTCTTGCTGATCCGGCGACGGGTGGCGCTGGCTCCGCTTCCAGGCTCCTCCCTCCCTGTCCCCCGCAAGCGGAGCTTCCCCCCACGCCTGGCTAGGCGCCCCGGACCCCAAGGAAGGAGTGAGGGTGTCTCCGCAGAGCGCCCTGGTCCGGCGAAGTCAGAGCACTGGGCCTGGCGGCTGGACCGAGCGGAGCGGCTGCAGCGGCGGCGGCTGTGGGAAGCTGAGCGGCGGCGGCGACAGCAGCTCCCCCTCCTCCGAGAGCCGGCCCGGGGGCGGGGCAGGGGCGGAGACGGCAGGAAAGAGGGGGGTGAAGCTGGGTGGGCGGAACCCCGGGGTTCCTTGAAGGCTCGAAGTGGGGACGGTCTTAGAGACAGGCGGAGCCGAGGCAAGGCCGCACGTCTCGGGGCTCGGAAGAGGAGGGACGTGGAGGCGACTCCACTCAACAGAACCCTGGATGGCGGGGAGAGGTTGGGCTTAAGATAAATGGCATGGCGGACGCCTTGAGCATGGAGAAAGGGGCCTCACTGTCCAGGTAGGAGGATAGAACTGGGTGAAGACAGTGAGGGGTGATAACTGGTGCGATCCTGGAGGGAATATCTAGGCTGGGCGCCCTCCTTACCAGCTCTGCTTGTTTGTGAGGGCACAGTAATCAGTTCCTTGTCTCTCCGCCTCTCTCATACCCAAGTTTTATCAGCAAATATACTCCCCCAGATTTCTGTTGACTCCTAAAAGACAGTAAAAACTGGGAGGCTGCACCAGGGCAGGGGAGGAACTGGCCACAGATTTGGAGAGTGAAGAGGGAGGAATGAGGCGACTGGACGACAGAGCCAGGGGGTGGGAGGGTGGGAGCCGGCTGGGCCTTCTGCAGCGGGGTCTTAAGATCCAAGGACGCTCAGGCTGACCCTCAGGCGAGCACTTCCCTCCACAGCTCTCTCACCAACACAAGCACTTTCCACTTGGGTGGGAGCAGGGTCTTTAATGGGTCCCACCTCCTACCCCAGCCAAGCCACCCCCCTTGCGCGCCGCTTTGGCCTCCTCCACTGCAGCGCGAAGGGCCCGGGTGGGGTCTGCACGGAGCCGGGCCAAGGCCGGGAGCAGTACGGCGGCGCCTTCCCTGGCGAGCAGCTTTCGGCCGCTTAGAAAATAGTGGGGTAGAGTCCCGGCCTCGAGCACACGGCCCAGTTCATCCAGCAGCCCCAGGCAGCAGGAGCCGGCATTCTCGGGCCGCGCCAGGTAGTGCGCGGGGAGCCGCTCGCAAGCCCAGTAGAGCAGCGTCCGCAGGAGGTAGGGAGCCGCGGCCCGCGTCCCGGCCACCAGGGGGCGCAGGAGCGCCTGGGCCGCCGCGTGCGCTTGCAGCAGCGGGGCAGGTATGCGGGCCTTGAGCGCCAGCTCCTGGCGGGCGAAGCAGAGCTGCCAGCTGTAGGCGCTCGGCGGCTCTAGGCGACTACCTGGCACCAAGTAGAAGGACGACTCCGAGGCCAGCGGGCCGGCCCACGAGTGGTTCCGAGCCCCCTCGGGCCAACCGGTCACCGACACCACGGGGATCAGATCGAAAAGCAGGAGGCGGCGCGGAGGCCCTGGCGTGGCCAGGAGAATGGTGGTGAACCCCGCGTGGCGGGCGGCGTGGACCAGACGCGGGGCACCAGGCACAGGGAAGAGGGTCTCGGCGACCGCCGCGAGCGAAGCGAAGAACCACGCAGCCACCTGGGCGGGGCCCAATGTGGGCCACGCCTTCTCAACATCCGACAGCTGAGGGGCTGGATTAATCACCTTTGCTTGGGTGATGTCACCATTCGGTTTTTCCAATGGTGCGGCACAGGCCGGATCGGTTACGTCTTGCTGAGGCGACTCGGGCCCCAAAGCGTTACTAGGTGATTTTTCCAAAGACTCGTGCGATCCAGGCTCAGTGACGTAGTCGTGCGTCTGGTTCAGGGAGCTTTGCGGGTCCGTGGGACTTCCTTCACTTTGGATTCGGTGGATCGAATCAAGTCCTGTGGGGGCTGGGGGCCCGAGGCAGTCCTGCCACGCCTCCCGGACCGCGGTTCGGTGCATCAGCTCCGGGAGGCAGAGCCGTGCGTAACAGGACTCCGCGTCCAGCTGCAGCTCCTGCCCGGTGCCGTCTAGCGACAACACAGGCACCAAGAGTGTGAAGCCCGCGTCGTAGTGAGGTCCCCGGGCATAGGGACCCAAGGGTGCAGGCCCCAGATCCAGGGAGCCCTCGCGAATCCCACCACGAAGCAGCAAGAGTTCAGTCTGGGGAGGAAAGCGGGGGTCCCGACGGTGAACAAGACCTAGGGAAGAGATGGAATCGCGAGGGTGTGCCCCAAAGGCGGGGCGGGGCTGGGAGCTGAGAGTTCCCAAAGGCAGGGGGTGTTACTTACCCAGCAAAGAGAAGACAAAGTCTTTGGCCTGGAGGAGGTCCGGCCCCGGCTTGGGCCCGTCACTCCAGCTCTCCTGCACACCCAGTTCCTGGATCAGCTGGGTTAGTTCCTGCAGCTGAGCCCCGGAACAGAAGTCGATGTCCGTGAGCGGCCGGGCTGGGGCTGGAGGTGGCGGGCCCCACCAGGGAGCACTCCCCCAGACCGCAGAAGCCATGTGGCTCTATCGTCTTTTGGTCAAGGAAACAAATGAGGGGAGGAAGCCTAGGCCCGCCTTTCCTTCGCTGTCAAAAAATCGCCCCAGTTCTCTCTTCCCGAATCCTGTTAGGAGATAGTGCCCCAGTCACAGTTTGCAGTCAAACGAGTTTGCAGATGAAGGGCTTTAAATCTAGTCTGAAATTGAACAAATGAATACCTCCTCTGTTCTTTTCCTTTCTCATATGCTGGTCCCCGCCCCCATGGGCCGGTTTACCTGACTCAGCAGGTAAAAAGAGGCTGTGAGGTCCCTCACAGAATAGCAAGCCTCCTCCGCTGCCCCTCGTCTATCCCCCCTTACCTCTTTTTTAGGAAGAGGCTTACAGTCTGCAGCTTCCCTCTTAAGGGTAGCTGCAAGGGTTGGGAAGAGAATGGACAGAATGATTCAACAGGTAACTTCTTCCTGCTGCCTACAAGACCACGCCCCCATATTAAGGGCACGCCCCTTTCTGGAGGTTGTCGGGGTGGTTGCGGGCCGGCCCTGCCTCCAGTCAGAATTCAGTTACTCCTTTCTCTCCGCTGAGATCTTGAGCTATCCTGGGAGTTGTAGTTTCTCTTCCCAGCTACTAGGGCGCTGGGGACACGCCCCCACAATCCCTCCCTTTTCCGCTGTAGTAGAGCCTGATGGAAGTTGTAGTTCCTATAGAGACAAGCTGTTTGGTGTCGTTCCAGGCCCAGGCCAACTCCACACAAACATGCCTTGAGGTTGGTGCAGAGCTGGGAAAAGGACGGATTCCAATATCAAACAATAATGGGGGACATATCCTAGGGTAGAAGTAGAAAAAGGCACCCTTACATCCCATGTGAGTAGAGGAGCACTGGTCACTCAGATCTAGGAAGGTGTTTTTTTTTTTTTAAAGAAGAAATGCCAGGGATGTGAAAGATGAGGGAAGAGGACACTTTCTTCTTCTTCTTCTTTTTTAGATTTATTTGTTTGTGCATACAAGAACTGGGGTACAGGCCAGGGGTGTGTGTGTGGAGGGGGAGAGAATTCACCAGAGACAAAGTGGGGAACAGAACAGGCAGATCCACTGAAATACACTGCTAAGGGGAACAGCAGGCAAGTCAGGAGAGGTCTGCTGCGCCATGTGGGTCACCTCTCTGGCTGGGGATCAAACTCATGCTGCAGTGGCTGAGGACAGCTTCACAGTGCTGTGTCTCAACCCCTTGCACCACCAGGGAGGCCCCTAGGAAAGTTTTCTATTCATTTGTAACTTCATTTTGGAAATGAGACTACAACCTGGTAAGGTTGCACATCACTTGTCCAAGGTCAGAGTTGAACCAGGAGGTGGTTGAACCAGGAAAAGGGCTCCACACCTGGGTGGGAGCCATCTCCTTGGAATCTGTGGTAGTAGTGTTAGGCAGGAATGGACAACTTACTCAGGGAAGGGACATATGTCTTAGTGATACCCGCTTTGGATACATGAGTGATGACAGGGAAAACATTCTGGAATCTCATGTGTATACACAGAAGAGTTATCAAGTCCAGAGGAAACACCCAGCTGGGCTGAGATGGGATAATGGAAAACTATTAGGGGAAGGAAATTGTGTTCAGGAACCAATGCTTGTCAGGGACACAGCTTAAGTCCAGGATGCCACTCAGAGGCAGAATAATGGGGCAGAAAGATAGGAAGCCAGGGACAGTCTCACAGATCAGAACAATCAGTTGCTGGACTAGGGCTTCTTATATTCCTTTTCTCCTTGAAAGGTTTTCTCTGGAGTGACATATGCCTAAACCCAAGAGAATTAAACACCTAGAAAAACTGGAGACCTGTTAAATAAAGACCTCTTGGAATCCAGATTTTAGGGGTTCCTAGTCACTGACAAAGAGAGCTCTTCTCCCTCAGCAAACGAGAACCCAAAACATCCCCCAGACTGGGGAAATAGGTTTTTATATACAAGAGACCAGATCAGGAAAACTGAAGACTGCTCACCATCTGGGTATAATCAGGCATTGGGTATCCTATTTACTCCCCAGTGGGTAGCCTCTGAATCACTCTAAAAAGAATTAAGTTCTCTAGGCTCTGTGGGAACTTTGAAGTTGCTGGACGTGGGCAACAAGGGAATGTTCCTCTAAACTCTGAAGCAATATTGTCCAATAGGGTTTTTTGTGATAATGAAAATGTTCTAAATTTAATCTAGTAGTAGCCACTAGCCACACAAGGCACTCAAACACTTGAAATGTACATGAGACCGAAGAGCAGAATTTTAAACTTTAATTATAGTTTACATTCTAATAGCCATATTTGGCTAGTGGCTACTGTATCGAACAACGCATTTGTAGGGCCTTGGGGATAATAGGTTTAGCTATGTGGTAATGAAGGAGAAGCAGGAGCAGGGATAGTTCCAGTCCTCATCAGGACACATACGTGGCCAGCATTGGGAGTGGGACTGAGGTGGATGTCCTCAAAAAACCACAGAACATTTTTCTCATCTCTTTATTCTTGATGCTTTGCCCCCTCTTTTTCCAAGGTCCTCATCACACACTGATATCCCCACTCAATGGTCTCAGGTGAGTTCCTGGATGCCTCTTGGTGAAGACGCCTTGGAGACAGAGCCTCACACTTGTCCCTGCCCACTCCAAACTGTCTCTGGCGGGCATCAAAGACCACATGCCCTACCCGGGCACCCGGCCCAGGACAATAGGGTTTCCAGTTGATTTTGTGAGGCACGGACATCTGGCGATAGTTCTGGCAGGCTGAAGAAACTGGATCCACAGGGCGGTATACCCAGTCTTGACTGCCTGCTCGTCGGGAGGATGGCTGCAGCTCGATTAGTACAGGTACCTCTGAGAAGGCTTGCAGGTCATTGCAGCTCACTTGATTCTTGGAAGAGCAGGAGTTTGGGGCAGGCATCCAAGATACATGCTGCCCTGCACCTTCCTTCCGAGGAGTGTCCTTAGTTACAAATGACTTCATAAGGGACTGTGTTGACTTTGGGGTCTGGGGTGGGTCCAAGACTTGATTAGAGCAAGTACCTAGAGCAAGATCTGGCTTCTCTTGGAGGTCAGGATTTGGGATAAGGCAAGAGTCCTTGCAGAAGCCTGACTTCTGGGTAAGGCCTGGAGTCTTTGAGAGTCTAGTATCTTGGATAAGGGCTGGGCCCTTATGGGGACCAGGATCTTGATTAATTCCTTGCAACTTGTGGAAATTAGGGTCCTGGGCATGTTCTGGGTTCCTGTGAATTCCGATATCTTGGGTAAGGTCAAATCTTTTTTTTACTTCAGTGGCTCGGGTAAAGCCTGGATTCTTGTGGATGTCAGAATCTTGAGCAAGGCCTAGACTCTTGTTGTCTCCTGAGTCTTGGGTAAGGCTTGGACCCTTATGGAGGCCAGAGGTTTTCATATGGCCTGGGTACTTGCGGACACAAGATTCCAGGGAAATGCCTGAACTCTTCTTGACTCGAGAGTCTGGGGCAAGGTGTGGGCATTTCTGAGGGTCAGAATCTTGGTTAAGGCCAATACTTTTAGGAACTCCTGGATTTTGGATATTGCCTGTACTCTTGCAACCTCCAGCATCTTGAGAAGGGCCTGGACTGTTATGGATGCCAGTTGTTTGGGAGAGATCTTGACTTTTGGTGACTGCAATCTCTTGGTTTTCTTCTAGATTCCTATAAACCCCAGAATCTTGCATAAAGCCTGAGCTTTTATGAATGTCAGGAGTTTGGGGATATGGTGTATTCCTGTGAAAGCCAGAGGGTTTTGTGAGACACGAACTCCTAAAGATATTAGCATCTTGAGTAGCACCTTGGATTTTTTGTAGGTCGGAATCTTGGGTAATATTTGGATTCTTCTGAAGGCCAGGGTCTTGGGAAGAGCTTGGATTCTTGCCGAGGCCTGGATTCTTGTGGGTGCCTAGATCTTGAGCAAGGCCTGGGTTCTTATGGAGGTCTGAATCTTGGGTAAGGCCTGGGTTCCTGGGAACTTGAGAGTCTTTTGAAGGATCTGGAGTCCTTTGAAGGCCAGAGTCTTGAGTGAGGCCTAGACTCTCATCAACTTCAGGGGGCTGGGGTTGGGTTGGGAGTTGGGAAATCACAGAGAACTGGGAAGGAATAGGAAACTGGGAAGAGGGGCTGGACTGAGGAGACCTGGAGCTTGGGAGAAAGGTGGAGGTTTGTATTAAAGTGGAAAGTTTCTGGTGGTTGGCAGGTTGATGAAGGACAAAGGATCTGGGAGGAATAAGAGGCAGAGAAAGAGTGCATGGTGGAGGAATGCTGCACTGTGAATTCTGGGCACTGGTTGGACAATGGAAGCAAGGTTGGGAAGGTGTAGTATCCTTGGAGTAGACCAGGAATTTGGGGTAGACTGGAGCCTGGGAATCTGTGTTTCTCCCCTCAGAACTGCAAGGATGGAAGCTGCAGTAAGGGAAGGTATTGGGCTGTAAGAATTTGTCTTCAGCATTATTTGAGATCTTCCATTCCATATTTTCCAACTCCAGGTAACCTAGTATAGATTCTGTAGAGGGTTTATCACCATCCCTACTGCATGACCCTGATGTTTGCTCAGCTATACCAGAGTTTACCAGACCTTGGTCCTCTTGAGACCTGGAGAGGGTTCCCAGGTCCTTTCCGGAATATCCAGAGTTCTGAGGGGAGCATACTTGGAATAAGTTCTGCTTTACCCTGCGGGCAGCACAGACCACATGGCCAGTGGAGAGGCCTTGGCTGAAGACAGTCAGGTTAGAGGGAATAGGAGTTAGGATGGAGGTAGGAGTGGTGGCATGGACAGGATTAGGCACTGGAGTGGTAGTTAGAGTCATGAACAGTGCTGGGGCAGATGTTGGGGCAGAGATTTGGACAGGGACTGGTGTAGGGGCTGGGGTAGGAATAGTGGCAGAGGCAGAAGTTACTGGAGGCACTGGGACCAAGGTATGGGCATGGTTATGGGTTAGATGGGCATGGTCCATGGTGGGAACTGGGGCATGGACTGTTAAGTGCTCAGAGGTCTGTGTGTGGACAGAGGTATATTCAAGGTCATGGATCTGAGAGGGGCTGTGCTGAGGCGGGTGGCCTGGGGAGTTGGTCTGGGCCTGGGAGGGGCTGTGCTGAGGGGGGTGGCCTGGGGAGTTGGTCTGGGCCTGGGAGGGGCTGTGCTGAGGGGGGTGGCCTGGGGAGTAGGTCTGGGCCTGGGAGGGGTTGTGCTGAGGGGGGTGGCCTGGGGAGTAGGTCTGGGCCTGGGAGGGGCTGTACTGAGGGGGGTGGCCTGGGGAGGTCTGAGTGGGGGAGGGTTTGTGGTGAGGGGTGTGGGCTGGAGAGATTTGGGAGGGAGTATGCTCAGGGATGTGCACTGGGGATGTGCAGGTGTGGGCTAGGGAGTAGGCATGGGTCTGGGGGGCAGTGTGCTCAGAGGCGTGGGCTGGGGATTGGGACTGGAACTGGGCCAAGGCATAGTCAGGAGTCTTAGTCTTGCTCTCCTGGGGCAAGCAAAATGGAACCACGTCCAACTTGCTTGTTCTGGCTAACTGGGAAGATGTCTCTTGCCTGGCGAGATTGTTGGCCTGGGTGTTTAAGGTTGTGTCCTGAGGGGCCTCCCCAGCTCCCATCATCCCCTCCTTCCACAGTCCCCACGGAGCCTCCATCGGAGCCCTGGTGTGTCCACATGGGGGCGGCATCCAGCAGCACCTAGAAATCTCATCATTCATGTCTGCTGTCCAGGAGTCAAGGTGGTTAGGGTGCCTGAGCAGGAAGCTTGGGCGATGATGGAAGCGGGAAGAAACTCTTGAGGGCAGGTTCTTGGGATCCGCTGAGTTGCGCATACACATGGGATGGCTGCCTGCACAGCTGTGTTGCTTGTCTGCAGGGAAAGGTTGTGTGGGACAATGCCTGGTTCCTGAGGAGCTGAGAATGGAGGCAAGGATGGAAGAAAGGGTACAGCCCCACATCCCCTTGAACCCTTGCTGGGGCCCACTCACCTTTGGGGAAAAAATAATGAAAAAGAATCCGCAAGGAGCTCTTCAGATGCCTCCAGAGCTGAAGGAAGCAGGGAAGGGAGAGACCAGAACTCGGGTGAGCGGGAAATGCAACCTGTCTGGTCATGTTCCAGCTGCCCTCCCTCAGCCCTTTTGAGACCCAAGGCACCCCCAGACCTTTTTCCCAGACCCAGCCCTGACCAGAATCACCACATTGATTCCCACGTTGAGCAAGATGAAGCTTCCTAGAATCAGAAGAATTGAGTCTCCCAGGTCCTGGCACTTCCTGGGGTTGGTGCCAGAGCACATTTGGGCTCCATGGTAGGACCGCTCACCCATGTCCGGGGGTCCCAGGACTACCTGGGCCCCCTGGCCCCCACATACTCACTAGGAGCCACTGGACTCCTCTGGTGGGGGAGGGGACGACTGGGTCATAAAGAGGCAGGTGGTTGGGGTCACAATGAGGGAGGGGAAAGAAAAGGAGGGACTAGGGTGAAGTTCCTTGGTAACTGGGTTAGGGTAACGAGTCTGGACAGTTCAAACAGGGCCCAAAGATCAGCACACCTACCCTGTCACCCTCAGTTGTTCCCTCACTGCCCACCTGACTCATTCACTCACTCATTCACTCCATCTCCTTGACCACCCTGGCACTGGGAAGACTGTGGCCTCAGAGCCTGGGGAAGGTCCGGCTAGAATTCAGAGTATTGACTTTCCTGCTGGGCCACAGACCTACATCTCCCCAGCTGTGGAATCCCCAGATGTGGAATCTAATTTCAATTTCTTTTATAAGGTTGAATTTCTAAGCTCCCTTTGGGGACAAGGAGAATGGAGACACAGAATAGGTGCCTAGAGACCAGTGGTTTGGAAACTGCTGCAACATCTATTTAGTGCCTGGTGCAGTACCAGAAGGGGCCAGTTGGCAGGACTATGGCCACTAGCCAAAGGGCCCATACCAAGAAGGGGTCACTGGCTTCAAATTTCAGAAAACCAAGGGCAGAAGGAGTGGGGCTTCCAAGCCACAGAACACCACAATGTTTCCTGGACTCTGTTGTTCTTTATTCCTCGCTCCATGCCCTGCCACCCGCAATGCCCCTGGTCAGTTAAGTTTCCCATTCCGGGTCCTCTGCAGAGAGGGCCGCGAGGCTGAAGTGGAAGGTGGTGGCAGTGAGTTGGCCCTTGCTCTGCTCTCTTGCACCTGCCGCTTCAACTCTACACTATCATACACCTGGCAGTTGGCATTGCCCCCTGGGTTCCGGCTGAGTGGCATGAAGGTGGGTAGGGATGGGGGGGGCTCCACAGTCTGGACTTCAGGCAGGGGCTGGGAGCTGTGTGGGACCAGGGCTGAGCAGTTAGGTGGGCACCGTTGGTATGAGGGCTCGCCCAACGTGGTGAGGGAAGTGGAGGTGGTCAAGGGGTACCGAGTGGGCAGTGCTTCAGACCATTCGGCTGTCCGTCGCCGAACTTCATGGGGATCTCGAGAATTGTGGTTCAAGTGTCCTGCAGATGGATAGGGGTTGGGCTGACTGTAAACATGGCCTTGGAGGCTGTGCCGGTGTGATTGTGGGGAGCAGTGTTCCCGGGTCTCAGGCCGGGAGCCCCGTGGCATCAGGGCATATGGGGGCTCAGAACCATCCATAGTACGCCGCCGCTGATCCCAGGAGTCACACTGCAGCTGGCCCCTTGAGGGGTACGGGTTGTATCCTCCAGAGACCCCGCAGGAGTTAGGGGTCAGCCGGCGGGGAGGTGGTGGAGTTGAAACCCACTCCTCTGCCTCCACGTTACTCCAGATGTGGGACTGGGAGCAATGGGGCCTGTAGGACTGCAGTCTCAGCTCAGACTTGGCCTCCACACGCTTGGGCATGCGGCGCAGCTCAGGGGACAGGTAGAGAGAGGGTGGTGGCAGGCTGGCCAGGATCCCACCCTGGCGGCCCCACAGCCCCACACTGGAGGGCAGGCCCATTTGCTGGTAAACTCCTCCTCCCCAACACCCCTGTGGGTACTTGGGATGTGGGAAGGACAGGTCATCTTCCTCCTCCAAGTAGGAGTCTGGGTCCTCCTGATCAAAGGAAGGCATCGACTGCAGCTGGGACACCTTGCAGTTGTGGTTTTGGCTAAAAAAGACTGGGCTTTTGTGGGGAAACTGTCTTGAGTTCTTCTGCTTCCGTTGGTGGCTGCAGGGGCGGTGGTGGTGGTGGTGGTGGTGGTGGTGGTGGCGGCGGCGGCGGCGGGAGCGGCCACGCTTGAATCGGTGGTAGGGGGTGTGGCGTTTTCTGTGATGGTCCTGGGAGGAAGAGCAGTGGGCGGGCTGGTCCAGCTTCACTTCTACAGGGTCCAGGCTGCAGTGGATGTGGACGTCCTGGGTCGTGGCTGGGGGATCTTTGGGGGGACTTTCAGAAGCCTGCGGGACTTCATCTGGGGGAGGCAAGACTCCATGAGATCAGGGCAATTGTCAGAAGAACTCAGGGTAGGGAACACTGGAGCCTGAGTTTCTAGAACCATCATGGCGACTGAAAAGAGGGTCGGCATCCTACATCTCCAGCTACTATACTTACTTTTCTGGTTAATCCAAGAGATCATCTTGTCTAAGGCATTCTGGAGTCCATGCCACATCTGGGGGTGGGGTGGGGTGGGAGTGAAGGCCAGGTTCTCCAACCCAATCCCCATCCCCTTCCCAGCCAATACCACTCCTGCACATGGAGCTGGCTCCCATCCTCAGCCCTCTTCACCCTGAGGGGTGTGTCCACAACTGTCACTGACCGCAGTTGCCAGGTTGATCCCAATGTTGACAAGAATGATGAGGCCCAGCAGCAGGAATAGGAAGTCCTCGGCGTCCTGGGGACTTTCTTGGTATTGGTTGCAGCACCCCAGGGTGTCATACCCGAGTTGGTATTCCATGGTGGGGGGGGTCCTAGGGCCACTTGGGCCACACACCCCCCCACCAGCCCCGACCCACACTGCACACTGCACTCATACCTGTGCCTGGAGAAACCTACTAGCTAGTGATGGAGCCGGGTCACAATGAGGCACACTGAGGGGAGTCACAATGCAGAAGTGGCAGCTCTTTTATCCACTCTGCTGGCTCTTTATTTGGCCATCTTTGCCCTTGGTTCCCACTTGATGGAGCATAGTCCCCAGATATCCCAGATTTCAGTCTGTCCCTCTGCCCCTCATTCTCCATGGAGGCTTGCTTAATTCTGTATCTGATTTCTGACCTGAAAATATGGTAGGGCCTCCCTGGTGGCACAAGGGGTTAAGCATAGCACTGTGAAGCTGTCCGCAGCTTCTGCAGCCTGAGTTCGATCCCCGGTCAGGGAGCTGACCCACATGGCGCAGCAGACCTCTCCGCTGCTCCCCTCAGCAGTGTATTTTAGTCAGTCTGCCTGTTCTGTTCCCCACTCTGTTTCTGGTGAATCCTCTCACCCCCCACACCTCTGGCCTGTACCCCAGTTCTTGTATGCATAAATAAATCTTTAAAAAAATGAAAATATGGTAGTTGCAGTTGTGAGGCAGTCTTCATAGCAATTGAATTATGCATAGGGCCTCCCTGGTGGCACAAGAGGTTAAGACGCAACCTATGAAGCTCACCACAGCCACTGCAGCACGGGTTCAATCCCTGGCCAGGGAGCAACCCACATGGCGCAGCAGATCTCTCCTAACTCGCCTGCTGCTCCCCTCAGCAGTGTATTTCAGTCAGTCTGCCTGTTCTGCTCCCCACTCTGTCTCTGGTGAATCCTCTCACCCCCCACAACTCTGGCCTGTACCCCAGTTCTTGTATGTATCAATAAATAAATCTTTAAAAAAAAAGAAATTGAATTATGCATAAAGGAATTCCTCCATTTCATTGTCTTTCAAGACATCATGGCAGTTTATGTAGCTTGTTGGTATTCCCCACACATTTCTACTTATGGAGCAGCTAGAGTTAACTATATGGGTGCAGCAGGGATGATGACCTTCTGGTCACTCTGCTGCTCTGTTCCCTCCCTTTCTGCCCATTTCCCTGTTTTCCCTATTTCCCTGTCATAGTACCTCTCAGCCCCCACCCCTTTCATGGCCAGTGCTTGCAGCTCTAGGTATTAGTAGTCACTTGCTTCAAAGCAAGAATGACCTCTTGCTGGGGTTGCTATTCTGTAGGCGCCAGCATCAAACTTGGGTTCTCTCTTTTCTAACCAACTGCCTTCTCACCAAGCTGCCCCCTCCAGCTTGAAAAACTTAACTGCCAGGGCCTTCCCTGGTGGCACAGTGGTTGAGCGCTGGGCTGTGGCTCGTTCAATCCCTGGCTGCCGGTGAGGGTCCCACATGGTACGCAGACCTCTCCTGCCGTGCTCGCTGCTCCCCTCGGCAGTGCATTTCATCAGTCTGCCTGTTCTGTTCCCCGCTCTGGCTCTGGTGAATTCTATTACCCTCCCGTGCTTTTGACTGTACCCAGTGCTTGTATAAATAAATAAATAAATCTTAAAAAAAAAAAAAAAAACTTAACTGTCACCTTAAGGAAATCATGAAACATTAAGAAACTCATAAAGCACAAAATAAACATAATTGTTGATATGACAAAGGGAACCGATTTAAACCAGGTTCATCACTGGAGCTGGTGAAAGTGGTGCCCTGGGGACCTCAAGTCATGTGTTTACACAAATAGAACTGAGGAACAGCCAGTGAACTCTTCCCATCGAGCCTCTAGACACCTAGTGGGTGCTCAGTACATACCCACTGAGTGGGATAAACTTAAAATGATCAACAATGTTAGCTGAATGAAAATGAACAGAGAAGCAGAGCGATTCACACACACACAAAACACCTGTCTGCTCACATTCCAAACTCAGTGTGCATAGAAGGTGAAGCTCCTTTAGCCTGGGTATATTCACTTGGCTCCTTTCCCCACCTCCCGCCCCCTGCCCCACCTTGGCTCCTTGATCCTTACCTGTGTGCATGTACTTGTGTGTGCATATGTGCATGTATATAAACCCCATCACCTAGAAGTAGGATAGGACCTGGGTTTCCCCGCTGTCCTGTGGATGGAATATTCTGAAGAGTTCACATGGCAAACTAAGGAAGCTGGGAGATTCTGATGGGCCTGACAGACTCAGTGGCAATGGGAATCTACCTTTGGGAGCGGGAGGATGCAGTGTCTGAGGCTATGAACTTGATCTTCCTGTCTGTGTGACCATGAATAAGTCATTTGGTCTCTCTGGGCCTTAGTCGCCTCATTTGTGACATGAAGATGCCAATCAGAAGAGTAAGGAGTCCTCCCTGGTGGCACAAGGGGTTAAGATTTAACCTATGAAGTTATCTGCAGTCATTGTACCACGAGGTTGATGCCTGCTCATGGAGCTACCTACATGATGCAGCAGACCTCTCCTGACTCGCCCACTGCTCCCCTCAGCAGTGTATTTCGGTCAGCCTGCCTGTTCTGCTCCCCACTGTGTCTCCGGAGAGTCCTCTCACCCCCCCACACCTCTGGCCTGTACCCCAGTTCTTGTATCATAAATAAATAAATCTTTAAAAAAAAAACCAGAAGAGTCAGGTCACTCAGGGGTGTGATGTGATAATGAGGTAGCCCTCCAATATTTCGTCTTCTGCTTCAAGCCTGCTCAAATGTACAGGAGCTAAGGGAACTTCAAGGAACTTCACTCTCAGTCATCCCTCCCCTAGAAACTAGGGCTTGAGAGGGAACCACGCCTCATCTGTTGTTGTAACCTAAATCTGGGCTCCGGCAGGAATCAGGCTTATGGGTGGCTAGGGCAATGGGGATGATGCTTCATCCAGCTTTGATCCAGTCGCTCTATTGCAGGCCACTCAGGATCTGGGATGGGATTGGGGGTCATCTCTGAACATAAAACAGACGTGATAGGGCCTCCCTGGTGGCCTAGGGATTAAGTCTCAGCGTTACTACATTGAAGGTCCACCGTGGGGGCCTGAATTCGATCCCTGGCCAGGAAGCTGACCCACATGGTACAGCAGACCACTCTTGTTTCCCCTGATGCTCCCCTCAGCAGTGCATTTCAGTAAATCTCCTGTGCTGCTTCCTACTCTGTCTCTGGTGACTCCTCTTACCGCCCCTCCGCCACACCTCTGGCCTACAGCCAGTCCTCCTAAGCTAAAATAATAAAAATTTTAAAATGTTAAAAACAAAAAGAGTGGATAGAGTCATCTTGAAACTAAAAAAGGCCTGGAAGAGGGTTGAAGACAGGGCCTGTGGAGGCCAAGAGGGTGGTGAAGGTCCCCAGGATTCTCTAGGTCTTGTTGCCAGGGAGATAATTCCCCTAGCAATCAGGGTTTCTGGGTGCTTGTGGGCCCTGCCCCTCCTCACACCACCACAAACCATCTCCACCTCACTTCTTTTTATTGTTCTCCCAGGCACTTCTCTGGCAAGTGACGGTATATCCATTCCTTGCCTACTTCTGGAGCCACGGGGCTGTGTTCAGTGATCATAGGGTAACAGTGGGACAGGGCCTCCACCTCCCGGGTCAGCTCTCGAAGTCGCCGCCTCACTTCTCGTGCATCATACACTATGCGGGCTGAGGAGCCACGCCGGGGGACTTCTGGGACAAATGCTGGGCCGTGGATGGGTGGTGGGGCGGGAGAGCCCTGCTCCTGCTCTGCCCCAGCCCCTGCCTCTGCCCCTGCTCCATTGTTCTTATGGTTCGGGGCCTGAGGGCTGGGGGGTGGAGGGTTCACAGGGTACACGTATGCCTCAAGGCCCAGCTCTGATCGCATCTCTGTTGTTAGGGGCCTTTCAATTTGCTGGAAGCGGATAGTCTGAGTAGGGGGCTCTGGAGCATCCTGGGCCCAGGGAACCCAGACCCCCTGGGTAGAGCGGAAACCTTCCCAGTGTGGAGGGACATCCCAGTTGTGGGAACAGAATGCTGGGCAATGTCGTGGGGCCTTCTCTTCCTCGTCAGTGTCACGGCCCCAGGCTACAGGGCGGTGGGCACGGCGACGTGAAGAGCCCCTACGGCGGCGATGGCGGCGAATGGGTGGAGGGGTCACAGTCATTTGTACAGGGTCCATGGTGCATCGAAGGTGGACTGTAGGGGAGCTCTCCTTTGGGGGCTGGGTCTGCTTCTCAGGCGGGCATGGCTTAGCCTCTGTGAATCGGGGAGAGGTGAGAGGCTGATGGGGAAGCTGACATTCACAGGGATGGAGAGGCAGGGTACAGGGAGAGAAGCTGCACAGATATGGTGTCTGAGTGAGGGGAGTCATTTTAGGGCCAGCGTGAGAATGCCTGGTTTCTGCCCCTCCCACTCCAAAACCCTAGCCCCTGCTTACCTTTCTCACACATAATATGGAACACTTGGTTTAAGAAGCCACGGAGTCTGTTCCAGAGCTAGGTAGGGGAGGAAATAGTGACCGCAGGTAGGCCCTGGCCAACAGGCCTGCCCCCCATCCATCCTGCCAGCACCCTCCCATCCAAGCCCCACCCTGACCAGCGTCACCATATTGATGCCAATGTTAATACAGATGATGAGGCCCAACAGCAACAGGATGGAGTTACCCAGGTCCTGGCAGTTGTTGGTGTGAGGATTGTGATACGAGGTCCACCCAGGCCGTGGCTGCTCAGCCATGGCCATGGGGGTCCTTAGGACCGCCGGGGCCCTTAGACCCCCGGGCCTACTGTGCCTACAGTATCCAGTGGCACCTACCTGTCCCAGAGGCTCCTGGGGGTAAGCGGGTCACAATGATGCTGGTTCTCCCTCACAATGTGCCAAGAGGAAGAGTCCCGGGCTCACGGTTGACCCTTTAGCCTGAGCCAGGCCTTGACAGAGGTCAATTCACCTTGTATACCACTCCTGTAGTCAGCCACCGGACCAGTCCACAGGTCCTCTGGCCTGCCTGGTATCTGCTCCCATCAGCCTCTGCTGGATCCTTCTCCAAACAGGCAGTGACCTCTGCACAGACATTAAGGGTCCTGATCCTAATTCCCCACACAATCCTATCACCATGGCAACCTTACCCTAGCACCTACTCCCTTTTTCTCTCAGACCCTGGAGCTGTTCACGGAAAAGGGTTGTGGGCTGGGACCCCTCCTTCACGGTAGAGTCAATTCCCCAAGACTTGTTTCTTCAGAGCCCCTCCTTTCACCTCCTAACATCATAGCAAGCGTAACCAACAGTTAAACTTTTATATTTACAATATTCTCTTCATCTTTTTGCCAGGTTTAAAAATGTGTACAGAGCCGCAAAGGGTTGGGGTAGTAGGGACATGAGATTGTCAGGGAATTGTTCTGGGGAGAGGGGCTGGGCATTGGAGTCCGTGGCTGAATCATGGGGTCCCCCAGCCCCCCTCCCATGCCCCAATTTGGGGGCATCTGTCTACAGGGTTTAGGGTCCAGCTCCCTAGCATTTAGAGGGCATGGCTGTTTGGAGAAGAGCTAGACCAGGCAGGGGAAGGGGTTGGAGAACTAATGTTTCATGGGATGGAGGTAAGAGAAGGGAGGGTCAGGAGGCAGAGGTCTGGGGAGCCAAGGCCAGGGATTCTGGATTTGGGTGTCAGTGGAAGACAGTACCCCACTCCCTACTTTGGCACTAAGAAACCCACCAAATACCACCAGATGAGGATTCTCCCCTTCTCCACTGATGTCCCTTAAAACCTTTCCTGACTGCACTCTTTTCCCCAGAGGCTTAAAGCACTTTCTCCTCGATCCCTGCTGGGCAGTCACCTTACACATGTCCTTTCAAATTCTTCTTGCTGGTGTCTGCCCAAACCCCGTCCCCCACCACCCCATCTGTTCCTCACACAGCTGACCTCATTCTCTCCCCAACCTGTGCCATGAAACCCTTCTCCCTTTCTCTCCTTCCCTCCATCTCTCCTTTCCTCTAGCCCTGGTGGTCAGGGGAGGGAGGGGTAGGTAGATCAAAGGAGGTGGGCAGCTGAGGGGAGAAGCTGGTTTGACATAGGGATATGAGCAACTTCAAAGAGGAAGACAAACATGAGGCAGTGAGGGAGGCACGGTATGGTGAGGCGAGACACAGGCAGGACCCTCCCACTTGCCCCCACATTTACATGACCTGACCCAGGACCCAGGAATCCTTGGCACATTTGGGGGTCTTCAGTAAACCCACTTACCCAGTTTGGCACAGATGAGCAATGGTTTGAGGACAGAGGAAAAGGCTGTCCTCAAACCCCAGTGAGGGCTTTGGCCTCTGTGGGTGGCAGGTGCCACTCCCCCCCACCCCCAACTCAGCTTCTCTGGGGGAGGGAGGGGCAAAGCCCTCCCCTCAGGGTTTTTTACATCCCCTCAGCTTCTGTCAGCTAGAAGTCTGTTCCCACCTGCTGTCTGAGGAAGAATTAAGTGCTGGGCCTGAGGCCTGGGGGATGCAGGGAAGTGCTGGGGAGAAAGGGACTGTCTGCATGGGAAAACACACATCCACATGCAAGCCATGTTTCTACTCAGAGAAATGTATCCTGGACCCATGGGAAAACAATTCCCAGATAGCACAGGGATGCAGGGAACTCCTTGCTTCCTCCTGGCAGGAAATCTGTGTCTCTCTGTCACCTAGAGAACGTGCTTCCCCTGACTTGTGCCATGGGGGATAAACATGCTTTGCTGGGGTAGAGTGGGGAGTGGGGCAGGGAGGGGGGCTGATTTCCTCGCTACTTCCCGGGCACCACCCTGTTGTCTGTTGGCCAACGGTCACTATATGTGAACATACCACATCCAGGGTCTCCATGGGGTGGGGAGCAGAGAGGAGGTGGGAAAAGGCATTAAGGGAACAGGATTCTGGGGTACAAATCCCCACAGAAATTTTTTGAGGGGGTCAGCATGTGTCCAGGGCGGCAAAAAAAAACCTCACCCTGCACATGGGAAAACATACCCCCTCGTGAGAAAGCACACCTCCACGTGGGAAAATACTTCCACGTTTCCACACACCCAAGACTGGTGTCCCAAGGGAGGGGAAAAATCACCCCCCAGTTGTTCAAAGGCCCAGGTCCAGAGAAGAGAATGGGCCTCTCTGCATGGGAGAAACACGTCCCGGTGAGGAAACCCATGTCCACCTAATGCTCTCGACGTGTGACAACTCCACATGAGAAAAGCCTGTTGCCAAATTGTCCTCCCTGCCTTCCGAGTGGCACTTCCCCCGGGCGGCCAGGAGTGCTGGGGAGGAGGGCCTCCCCAAGCTGCTCCCTATACCCGAGTGGTGGAGTGGGGGTGGGGTAGCGTGTTGTTGTGGCTGGTAGCGGTGGGGGGTGGCGGGGGAAAGGGCCCAAAGGGATGAAGGGAGGGTGGTGGTGGGGGTGGCGGTGGCCCCAGGCCACTGGGCAGCAGGGTCAGGGCCCCGGGGGCCAAGAGAGGCACATCGTCCGGTGCCCGGCGCAGGGCCAGGGTGTAGTCGGGTGGGCAGGCGGGGCGCAGGGCCTCAGCAGGGTCCGCCCCAACGCCACCACCCCGCTTCAGCTGCAATGACACCAGCTCCTCCTCTGGTGGCAACTCTCGGCCTGCAGTGGGAAGCAGGGGGCCCCCACCAGGCACACCAGAGCCGGAGCCACCAGGTGGGCTGAGCCGCCTGCACCGCAGCTCCTGCCGCCGGTCCCGCTTGTAGTAGAGGGCGGCAAAGGCGAGGATGTTGAGGAAGAGGAGGGAGGCGCCCACGGCCACAGTGACGCTTAGCTCCGTGGAGTAGTCTCGGGAGTCCCCGGGGAAGCGGTCATAGGCCCGAGGCCCTGGCTCAGGCTCAGGCTCAGGAGGCAGGGTGGCAGGCGGTGGGGGCCGGCGTGTGCCCGGGGCACCTTGGGGTGGGCGAGGCCAGCGTGTGGCGTAGGGAGGCAGGCGCGTGGTGGTGGTGAAGAGCTCCGTGTGCAGGTTGTGCAGGTGAGGCACGAGCTCCAGCCAGAAGGCCACCTTGTTGGCGCGGTAGTTGTCACGCACGCGAGGCTTCAAGCCGATGTGCAGGTACTGCTTCTCCTTGCTGTTGAACTTGCTCCACACCACCTCCTCAAAGCGGTTGGGCTTGGTGTGAATGAACTTGGTGTCCTGTGGCACTGGCTGGTTGGGGTCACTGTGGGCACAGGAGGGCAGGGGAAGGAAGAGTGAGGGTGAGGCTCCGCCAGGAGTAGGAGTGGGGAAGGAAGAGGGGGTTAGAAAGTGACAGAGATACAGAGAGCCGGGAGACAGAAACTCAGAGAGAGAGAGAGAGAGAGAGAGAGAGAGAGACAAGGATGAAGATGAAGAGACAGAGAAACTGCCAAAGAAAGGGACAGAGAGACAAATGGGTTTAGAGACATGCTACAGAGGAGAACAGAGGAGCAGAGGCAGAGGCAGAGAAAGAGACAGCCAGTGAGAGAGGCAGAGGCTGAGAGTGCGTGACACAGAGACACAGAAACAGAGCAACAAACAGGAGAGTTGCCCAGGGTGAAACAGGTAAGCAAAGAGGAAACAGAGCAAAGAGAGCAGAAAGGGAGAAATAGCAATGGATTTCAAGAGGGAGCTGCAGACAGCACTAAAGAGACAGATACAAGTCCTTACACATAATCAGACACCAACCAGAGCAGTCAGGCAGAGGGGCAGAGCTGGGAGGAGAAAAAGGTGGGCAAGGCAGGGAAGGAGAGAGAGATCCAGAGTCAAAGCCCCCAAGGAGCCCACCCCAGAAAGGACAGGACCTCTCTCTCTCTGCTGAATTTCCACACACAGCTCAGTGCCTCGCACAGAGAAGGTGTCCAGCAGGTGTCTGAACCAACACAAGAGTGCCTTCACGGAGGAAGGATCTCATGTGCAAGGGTGAGGGTGGAGGGGATGTATGCCTTTGCCTGCAGAGGTGCCCCACCCAGCCCTTTTGGCCCTCACCCAGTCTTGGCGAAGTTGGTCCAGTAGGTCATGACCACAGCGCTGAGCATGACGTCATTCTTGGAGAAGTTGCAGGGGAAGAGATCAGTGGCACCCACCATGGGCACACCAAAGACGTAGGGGAGCTCGTCGCCATGTGCTGCGTCTGCCCACTCGGGCCGCCCCTCAGCCTGGCAGTGGTGGTAGAAGGTGTAGAAGTAGACAGGGGACTGGTAGTCGGCGTGTAGCTTGGCGGTGGCCACAGCCGGTGCCACCCACTGGTGGTCAGTAAAGAGCGCCAGCAGGGTCTTGCGCCGCATCTCACCATTGTCCCGGTCGGCCCAGTCTGTGTACATAAACTTGATGGTTTCCCGCAGCACATCCTTGCCTTCTGGGTAACCATACAGGTTGTCTACAAAGTTGGAGACTGTGAAGTCAAAGGCGCTCGCAGATACGCCATCCTCACTCTCTGCAGAGTCCTCCACGAACTTGAGGCCCTCTCCTTGATTGACGCCGATGAGCATATCATAATTGAGGAATTCTCCCTGCTGCATGAGGATCTCGGGGTCATCAGGGACGACGTCACCGTCCACCACGGGCCCAAAGGCAATATGGTAGCTGGGGAGAAGGGGTCAGAGTCTCATCACCTGCTCACTGGCCTCCTCTCAGCTCACAGCCCGCTGAGCTCACATGAGGGCTCTTCCCTGTGCCTGGAAGAACCTTCTCCCCAAGTTAAAATCTAGGAGTCATTCAGAGCACTTGGTCTTGGGAAGTTCCCCCTGAAGCATTTCAGGGTACCTCCTGCACACTTGCTCTGTTTTGGTGCCTCTACTTAAGGAAGGCTTCTGAGAGAAGGCAGGGCCACTAGA